TATTGCTAATAACTAGGTTAGAATGGTACTATCAAAGTACTATCTAAGTACTACTAAAATAATTAAAATATTAATTAATATGCATTTTCTATGGTATTATATAAAATTTATTAAAAAAAATGTGAAACCCTCTACTTTTTAAATTCTGCAACACAGAAATATTCTGTAAAATCAAATATAGGATTTTTATTCTTAAAAGGAGTCCAAGCAATTTAATTGTAATGTAAAAAAATTATATATATTTAAAAAACGAATTAAGTTTAATTTTCCTTATTTAAGTCACTAAGATCTATAAAAATTAGGCCTTTACTTAAAATTATTATTAAAAGGTACAATTCAAGTGTTTCATATGTATTAATAAAAAAATACAAAAACACCTTAAATAAGAATCTTATGTAATGTAGAAAATTGGCACCTTATCTGTAGTAATTAATGAAAATATGTAACATATATTTATTTTGATTTCATAATTGAATGAAGACTAAAATATTAGCATAAGTATTGAATGTTTTTGATAGATTTTAAGATGATGTGCTGTACATACTATTTGTTATAATTTAAAAGAAATTTCTAAGGCATGTCTATCTTTTTAAATATCTCATTATTATTCAGTAAAAAAGGATTTTAAATAAAATAAGAATACATTCATGAAAAACTTGTTTTTTTAATAGGATAACATTATACAAAACTTTAGCTCTAATCTATTTTATAGTATTCTTTATGGTCACTAGTACTTACTCAATATGCATAAGACTTGCTCAAAAAAATCTATAAAATATAATTTTCAATTAATACATGGTTTTATTTATTTTAATTTGGTAATATTACACATCTAAAATTTATTAAAATTTTACAATAATATCTATTATAATAATCTATTAAAATAAAAATACTATATCCAAATTCAAACTTAGTAATTATTTTTAAAACTTATATTTTTTTAATATATACAAGGTGTAATTTTTAAATTTTAATAAATCTTCTATAATCTATACTATGATGTTTTATTTTAGTATATATATATATATATATATATATATATATACACACACACACACACAAACATTCTTTTCTTTTTCTTTTTCTTTTTGAAACAAAATTGGAGTATACTTAACACATTAATAGAAAAAAAATAAAAAAATAAAAAACTAAAAAATAAAACAACACATTCATCAAATTTTTTCTTAGAGGTAGAATTAAGAGTACTAGGAATATAGGACTATTGACTATGACTACACCACATTTACATATTCTAAAATTCCACGTTATTGTATTATGTGAAGTCTTATTTGAGAATGTGCTAGGCACTTAGGTATAGAATGTAAAAAAAATCACAACAACAAGTTCTAAAAACTCTAATAGAATCATATATAAATTGAAATTAAAGCTTAACAAACATAATCAAACATTGATCAAGTCTAATTAAATTTCTAAATAAATTATAAAAGAAATATAAAAAAATCCTAAAGGAACCTAAAGAAATGTAAAAGAGAATAAAAAAAAAAACCCTTAAAGAAATCCTAAAGAAATCTAAAAGAAAAATACAAGAATCTTAAATAAATCTTTATGAAATCCTTAAAAAGACCTAAAGAAATTCAAAAGAAATCAAAAAGAAAATAGAATAAAAAACAATCCTTAAAGAAATTTTAAAGAAAGTCTAAAGAAATCTTAAAAAAATCCACAAAAACCTTAAAGAAATCCTAAAGAAAAATTTAAAAAATAAATCATAACTGAAATCTAACTAATTCAAATCAACCCTAATTGAAACCTAATCAATTCTGTCCAATCTTAGTATAATTTTAGAACCTCAATATCTATTGATTAAATCATTGATTTTACTTAAAATTTTATATACCTCTCAATCTCTTAGTTAACAACAAGGATAAAAAATTTGAAGAGAATTGAACTTATGAAATGAGAGAAAAATGTCATAATCTACTTAGGTGACAGCTAGCCTCCATCTTTGATCTAAATGTTAATCTTCCAATAGCAATAATTCCTAATTGAACTATTAACTTGCTCTCAAATTTTTCATGAGTGTTGAAAGTCAAGTCAACTATTAGCTCCAACAAAATAACCTCAATCCAACTAGCAAATTGTTGCAAATCTTAGATAAACTTACTAGACCTAAAAGTCCAATTTTTGAGATCCTAACCTACTTAAATTTCAATAACCTCCAATCCAATTGTCCGATTAAGCTCAAATTCATAATATATGTTCAATACAACTATACTCACAATCTTACAAAATTTTATATATAAATTTGCTACAAAGCTCACAAAATTGCCCAAATTGTAAACCCTATTTTATTTCACAAAATTTAGAGTCATCTAAAACAATCTTGACTTTGTAAAGCTCTTACAAAGTCATTACAAACTCAAATTCCTCAAACCAATCCTCCAAAAAATCTTATGAAGTCTTCTCCCAAATTCCTTTCTTTGATTTATAAAAGAACCTTGGAGTCACCATAGGTGTATAATTTTGTGACTCAAGGTTTGATTTCAATTTAGGTTGATAATTAGTCCTCTCTAAGTATCAATTTTTGATAATTTGAGGTAAGTTTTACTTTAATTTATTGTTAACTCTCTTTTAAACATGTCTATATTAATTTCTTATCTCACTTATTTTGATTTGGCTTATTTATGCCTCTACAAAGTAAACAGAAGTTCTTTCTACAAATGGCACCATCAAGACTAAACTTTTTACTACCTTTCTATAATTTATCATTATTTTTCTACTACATCTTTCTACTAGCCTCTTCTATAATAACATCCAATTTTTTATTTTTTCCATATAGTCATGTTACCACATAACAATGTAATTATTTTGTTATTTCTAAAGCCTAATATGTGTTGAATCATCTATAAGTTATTCCATTTCTTAACAAGAGAAGATTAGTGCTTCAAGTATTTTGCTTGTTTTTTGTTTAAAAACATCAATAATATTCTTTATATTCAATAAGACTTTGTTAAACTAAGATTTTAATTTAGAATGTATACTATATTTTATTTTTAGAAAATATATGGATTATTTATTGTAAGAATTATAAAGTCAATAAACAATCCATGTTACTTTGAATCATATTAAGGAAGGTAATTTTTTCGTTTAAAAAAAATTTAATATAAATTTAATTTTTTGATCTAGTCTATAAGGCCAAAAAGGATTATAATGAGGATATTAGAATATTATTCACAATGATTGTTCTACTTACTACATTGATTTTTATAGAGTACTAGTATTCTAACTTGATCAACATTTTTTGTATTCAAAGAAATTTTGGAAAAGATCTAAAGAGTTTACTAATATTTATAATAGATGCCTATATCCATCCAAATTATTTAGTCCATTTTGGCATGTCAAATTTTTTAAATTGCTAGTATGCAACAAATTTGGTCCAATTAATCTCTACTAATGAGACTAAACTAAATAACTTGAGTCTTTATAAGATAATTAATATTAATTTTTTCTTCTAATAAAATAGTGGAATTATCAATATGTTGATTGTTGACTTATTGATTTGAATTCCAAGTAATATGTATGTAAATACATATATATATATATATATATATAGAGAGAGAGAGAGAGAGAGAGAGAGCGCGGTGGTGAAGCTTAATAGCATTTTAAATAGTAGTTTTAAAAACTTCACCAATCATTATAAAAAGATAAGGTGCCAACTTGCAACCTTGTCTTATTCTTCTCTCTATAGGAAAGTAATTAGTCAAAGTCTTATTAATATAAACAAATGTATTTGCTCTTTCAAGACTACTTTTAATCATATGACAAAATGAGTCATTAAAGCCAAGTTTTCCCAAGGCTTTAAACATAAATTTATATGGGACTTTATCATAAGCTTTGGGAAAATCAATTTAAAGAAGTAGAAGGGATTAATTTGATATATTAGTCTAATTTCTAGTTTCTTGGTTAACAATCATATTATCTAAAAGAAATTACCTTTGTAAGAAATGCTTAAAGCTTTTAAGTATCAATCATCTTATGTTAAATGATCTTAGTATAGATTTTGTATAAAATATTGAATAAGGTTATTTGTCTCTAATTTCCTAATATTATCTTATCAACATCTCTGTGCAAGATGTCAATGTACCCTTTAACAATACTATAGGAAAAACAACCATTAAAAAGCACTTGGTTATTCACAATGAGATAATTAGCTCCAATGATGTGCCAAAAAATCTTTAAAAAATCAATGTCACCTCTATCTAAATTAGGAACTTTGTCTTCACCATGTCCTAGAGAATTTCTTCAATTTCTTGTAGAGTAAAATGCTAGGATAACTCATTATTTATACATTCTATGATTTTGCATGGAATGTTATTCATAAAAATAATGATTTGATAGAAACATTATATCTTTCTAAAAAAATAAAATAAAATTAGAAGATATTAATTATACAACCTACAATGGAGTCAATTCTTAAAATATTGATTACTTATTAGAAATTATTAGTTTTTAGAGAATTAATTTTTGGAGGGAATAAAGTGTGTATATATATATATATATATATATATATATATATATATATGTGTGTGTGTGTGTGTGTGTGTAAATATGAAAATAAATATAACTCTAAACACCAAGGATTTAGATCATGATCTAGATTTTAAAAACAAAAAATAAAAGAAATTGCTAGATAGACACTCCCATTTCATATAAAGTGGGAGTAGATTTAACAAAAGTTCATAATACATTTCATATAATTGTCTCATTCATTTAAAAAAACTTACTAAATCCATTTAAAGTGCCTTTTATTGTAAATTTACCCTAAAACTTTTTAGTTTAAAAAAGAGTTTCAAAATGCACGCCATTGGGGGTGTCCATTTGTCTGTTCCCAAAGTAAATTTCTCTGAGTTGAAGTGTCGTCTATATCAATGAAACTTCGAATCCTAAAACCAACAATCATTTGCATGGTATGACTTCTAAAATATCAGCAACATGCTTCTGATAGTTTTTAGTAAAAAGAAAAAACAAGTGGAGGGGTTTAATAAAGTGATTAAAACCATCCATCAATTAACGACCAGTCTCTTCCATACAAAAACCATTCCAAAAGTATGACCAGGATCACTAATGGCAATATACCGGGAGGTGGAACATTTTCTCTTTGTTGGTATTTAACATAGTGAATGCTGCATGTCGACTTTTATCAATAACCCAACGACGTGAACCACTTGATCGATCTGTTGGTCAATCCTGAAATGCCAAAGCCTAAATAGATTGAACACTTGATAATCCAACTGCACTATAGTTGTACCTAATCCAAATACCATCCGCCTGTGACACATGCACGGAATTCTCCAAAAGTCTGGTCAAGCAAGCTGGTTTAGCAGGAGAAAACAGTGCGCGGTGCGCTCAACCAGTTTCTTAATTGTGGCAGAATCGACAGCAGCATTGTCTGCAATCCAAAAAAATTCAGGCTGCTTCAATCACTAGAACTTTCCACTTCGTATAGAAAATTACGCTCGGCTAAGCCTCAGAACAGACTAGAATTTCCTCGTCAAAACCTCGAGCTCCAGAAAAAGACCGAGATACAAATACTGTTACATGTTCTACTATGCCACGTGAAGATAACAAAATGTACCTTAGGTATGGTTGGCGGTGGAATTTCCGCTATTATTGCTCAGTCCATGAAGTGTCGAGGTAAAGTCGAAATAACTAAGCTTCGACATGGAAAACTCCCATCTCGAGGCATCGAAGGCTGTTCAGCACACAGCAAAGCAGCTCCCGGATGCTCAGTGGGACATCATCTACTCCAGACAGGACCAAGGTATCAAAACTGTCGATACGATACAATTGAGCGCCATCAAGTACTTTCAGCATCCTTGTATACTCTCTCCTACTTTAAACCCCCCTTCATCATTTCCACCTGTACATGAGAAAGGTACGGCCAGGTTTCCTTCCCCTTCACACCGAACAAAGAGAAAAGAGTCCAGCGGCACAACCATGAATGGTACATAAATGCTGATCCTGCCCTAAACAAGTTAGTGTCCTCAAATATTTTAAAAGAACTCGAAAAAATAAAAGTAACTCTAATCCCGGAACAAACGAACAAACAAACAAACAAAAAAGGTGTTAAATGAAAGAAAGAGAGAAAGAGAGAAAGAAAGAAAGAAAGAAAGGGAAGACAAAAAGGGAAAAAAAAAAAAAAAAAAAAAAAAAAAAAAAAAAAAAAAACTCCGCCATCAATCTACGTTCAAAAATGAAGCTGATTCGGCGTGAATCGGCTACCATCCACCCACCCAATTCGACAAAGCATTGCAACAATACTGCAACTACCGTTTCTGTACGCTCTTGGGACCTCTCATGCCCAACCCTACAGATCTGTGGTCATTTCCTGTCCAGCAATCGATGCACCTGGACTTCTAAAATGTTTCACAAACTGATGTTTCTTTTTTTAACCAAACTTTTCTTCCAACCATCACATCTTCCTCGCGAATATTTCAGAGTAAATTGCTTCCACCCTCTTCCACATAACTTTACTCCGTCTGAAACGTCTTCAGGGAAAAACTCCATATCAAAGCGATTATACCGGCGCTGCTCGAATCACGTCCAGAAGCATAAGCCGCACCCTGTTGTCATATTTTCTCGCATCCAATCCATCTTCAATACCTCTATTATTCGCAGCATCCATTTTGTCCCCACTCATTGCTGTTGTTGTTGCTGCTGCTGCTGCTGCTGCTGCTGCTGGATAACTAGAGCCAAGTTATTTTTTTTCTCTTTTGCAGCCTCGATGGCTTGTTTGATCCTTTCCGCGGGTCCCAGCTTGATGTGCAGCCGGTGCTTGCTTCGCAGTTGGTCAAGTAACACTGTAATATCCCTAGAGTTTAGCAGAGTGTACTCATCCATGTCTTCCTGCAGCATGGCATCAATGATAGCTGGTGGAACATTGTAACCCTCGAACAGGGCCATCAGAGCTGGGGCATTCACGTGCTCTCGTTCCAAGTCTTCCAAGGCCCTTTTCCTTTTCCTTCGTCCTTGGATTGGCGAAATCTTAGGGATGGTTTCTGATGTTTGATCGCCATCTCCACCGGCACCCTCTAAGTAGTACATCCTCTCCTCTTCTTCCCCAGAAGATCGGATGCCTAGAGGAGTGTCACCGCCTTCCAAGCCCAAAGGCGAATCTCCGCCTCCGATTCCACCCCCGCTGCGCATGTGTCTCGGGTTTGCACCAATCAACTCATCCATCATATCATAAAATATCCATTTCGACGTCCCAGATCCCGACACACGTTTTTTCTCCCTCTCCACTTTATAACGTTTTTTTAGATTATCAACCTGGATTTACATGAATCATTAGAAATGACAAAGAAAACGTCGACTGCATAAATCAGGAACGATTACATGATTTGAAGCCTTTCCATACAGAAACTGGTTCACTATGATAACAGCAATATTAATCATCACATGAAGCGAGTGTAATAAGCTTCCCACCTTAATGCGGCACTGCTCCTGCGTCTTTGGTATTCCGTCCACTATATTACCCTACACCATGCACCCGACAGACGGTAGAAATGAGTGCAAGTAACATCTTCGAGAGTGTTTCTGAACTTTCAGTGAATAATCTCAGTGACTCACGGGAAATTACATCATTCTTCAGTAAAAGCCGGAGTTAAGTCGGTGCTTGAGCGGTATCAGACTTTTCGAGGAACACGTCAACTAAATAGCAGAGAATACATGTAGTAAATGCCAGCTACTTGGACAATCAAAACCAGATGTGCGAGAGATCCTGTGATCAGGAAACGGCATAAATTACCCGTGTGAACAATTACCTGTTTCATTAACTAAAGCAGGTAATGCCCGACAAAACTACACGCCGCAATCCACTGCTCGTGTTGTACACAAATTATATTGTCCACTTGATAACATAGACATAAAAAATAAAAATAAAAATAAATAAAACTTATTGTACAATTCAGTAGAGCAACAGCACCGCAAACAAAATAATAATCACATCACTCGCACCCTCACCAAACAAGCTCAATGGCCAAATAGCTACTTGACGTAAAAAACGTGTCTCATATAGATGTACCTAATCTCAACAACTCCTCTGATCTAGGCTTGAAAGATACCACATACAAATGAGACTGCCCCTAAGCGTGCAATGGAAGTCGAAACATGGCTGAAATGAATCTACTACGCGTATTTACTGTCGGGGGCGGACACAATGTCCATCACACTTACGTGTTAATATAATCAGAGCACGGGCGAAAACCGAAAAACAAAGGAACATTCCGATTGTATGTACCAAAAACCTAAAAGACATTATAACACCGAACAGTCTAAACGACAATTCAATATCTACAGCCCCATACAGTACACAAGTGTTTCACAAGTACAAACAGCTTGGGAAACACTGTTCACGGTTGTAACTATCATCCGTGTGTATCACTAACTCGGGTGTTCCGTAAACTATGGAAGTTTGAAGCCTCAAGACTTCAATTACAACAGAGAATAAGACATTCTAGGCATCAAAACAAGTTCGTCAAGACCATCGACCTCCGCCAGTTGCTTGTGAACCCTACGGCAAACTCAGGCTATCTTTTTTTCCAACCAATGGCGATATACAAATAAATAAAATAAAACCCTGGCATGCATGCTTGGATCTCTAAAACCACTTAACCTCCATTTACGTGTTCCCCCCCCCAATTGATCCCAAGCGCCGTCAGCCGCCTCTAACTAGGCTTCACTCTCTTCGACTGATAAGAAATAACACCAAATCAACCTCAAAGAAAGCACCGCAGCATAGAAAAAAACAAATAAAGAGTTTTAAAATCGAAAGCATTAATCACCGTCAGCGAGCCGCGGCTGTTCACCCTCGCCGCAATGTCGGCCCAAATCTTGCTCGTAAAATTCCCGCGATCGAGAGCGTGATACTTCTCCCCAAACGCTTGTAACAACACTGTGGTGGCATTCTCGCTCCACTCAATTGCAGGGTCCCGTGACGACCGCCCGCGTAGCTTCCCAACCTGAGGGCTGTTCGCCGTCCCGACATCCCCCTCGCTCATCTGCCGCTCCCGGCCCTCCATCTTAGCATCCACCCGGAGCATGGCCGCACTCAGCCCCCCGAGCTTGGCGTCCATGTCATCCACGACGCCGTGCTTCCCGTTCCCTATTTCCACCCCGTACGCATGCGCGTGGTCATGTCCATTCTCATGCCCGCGGTCGCCATAAACCACGACGTGCCCCGGGTGCTGGCCCTTGCCCATATTGTCATGGTCGTGGTCTCCGAGCCCCTTCTCCCCATACAAAATCCTCTGCTGCTGCTCGTGCTCTTGCTGCTCGTCCAGCATCCTCAATCCTTGCACCTGGGGCGCCAGGTCCATTCTCCCGACCACCACGTGGTGGTCGTCACAGGCCAAGCCATGAGCGTCCATAGCGTCCGCTCCCCCGCCATCTCCCGGGTGCTGCTGGTGCTGATGCTGATGCATCATCATCTCGCGGAACGATGTTGGCTCCACCCCCCTCGTCGTCTTTGCGTCGCCTCCTCCACCACTACCGGAGGTGATGTCCCCTTTTCCCTGTTCACCAGTTGCTGCTCCTCTCGTAGATGCGATGAACAACTAACTCCTCCCTGGCCCCGCACAGAACTCCGTCCGTAGCTGCGGTGCTCGGGGGGAGATGATGCTTGGATGGATGCACGTCTTCCCCTCCTCTCTCTCTTGTCTCTCTCGTCTCTCTCTCAACTCGTCTCCGTCACCTCTGTTCTCACTCTCTCTCGGTCACTCTCACTCTCACGCTGGTCCTCGCTCTCTCTCGCTTCCTCCTTCCTTCCTTGTCTACTTGCTCCTGCAACAGCGAGCGAGCGAGCGAGCGAGCGATGCACGCAAGTGACTCACAGAAACACGAGCTTAACTGTTTCTCATCTCATCCCCGACTCCTCCTCATTCCGCCCTGTGGACGCCCCCTCTCCCTTCTTCGCTCCCTCCTTCGGCCACCGCCCCCGCTCTCCCGCCCTCCCTCCCCCTGCCTGCCTTTTGCTTTTCCACGACCTTTACCTTTTGCCATTTTTTCTTTTTTCTTTTTCTTTTGCCCTCTGGGCTTTCCTTCGTAGCCTCGGCCCCCGTTAGGCGGAAGAGAAAGCAGAGGAAAGAGGGAGGCGGACGTGGCCGGGACGTTCCCCACGACGTTCTTTATGAGTTTCAGTGGAGTTCCTCGGAAGCTCTTTCTATTTCGACGCTGCCTGTTTCCTCGCCCAATCCCTGTGCCCTGATTCGCCGCCTTATGGGCGTCGCCCATTGGTCCAACCCCTTGGCTGCTGCCCCTTTGTATTTAAGATTCCCTTCCTTCCCAATCATCGATTGTGATTCTTCCTCATTTAGCACATCTCACCGCAATATATTAAAAAATAAAATACAAACTTTCATTCATCCATATCTATTATTTCATTACACATGCACCTTTTTTTTCTATTACTTGTATAAATTAATTATCTATCAATATTGGATTGAAACTAATCTATTTTTTAAAAGATATAAATCAAATTGAATTATATGTAAAATATTCTATATCTATATATATAATAAATAAATAAATGATTTAAAAATCCATATTATTTAGATAAATAAAAATAAATCGAAACATATTAGGTAGATAGTGTCTCTTTGTGAAACTTTGTGAATTAGATCTACAAGCATCATAAGATGTGTCATGTGACTATACAAACTTCTTATTATATTTGCCTTGATTTTAAAAACTACTATAGTTACAATGTGTTTAAATAACATTCTTATATTTTTTAAGAACAAAAAAAAGAACATAAACAACATATTTGTGGTGTATTATAATATTTTTGAAAAATAAAATTATATGAGAAACAAATATATGTTTTAGATAATTTAAGTAGATTTTTTTAATTTTAATTATTTTAAATATAAATCTTAAAATTGACCAAATTTAGAAATTTATACTCTTTTAAAATCTAACAAATATTTTTATTAATACTATAATATTAGGTTTAAATTGTATACATACAAATCAATTAGTTTTAAACCAACAACAATATCGATTTTTATAATTATAATTATTGCATAATTAATGCATGGATCTTGTAATATAATAAATAATTTTTACAATATACTTGACTTGCAAGGTTGTGAAGAAGCGCATATTATTTTCATAATATACATCAATGTATTGTTTTAATTTGCACACAAATCACCAAATCATTACTAAAGAGATTGACTTCAAAGCTAAAAGAACAACTAGTTGAATTCCTACTCATAAGTATTCACAATACTTGCATGTATATGACTTACACACGTCCCAATAGACTTCAACGAAATTAAATTTAAAATAAATTTTTGGATAAAATATAATTAGATTTTTTGTTTCTTCTATAGTTTTTTTAAACATCAACCTTTGTTTAAGAAAATATGCTTGCAAAGCAAGAAGCTCTCTTGCATCTTTTAGAGTCATCTTATGATTCTAAAGACCATATTTGCAAAAGATGGTGCAATTTTCTTTCTAAACGCCACCATTTTGCATTATTTGATTGTCATAAATACCATTGGAGATAAATCAATTATTATATATTGGGCATGGGTTCTTACTTCCATCTTTGAAATTGACAAGTACATTATCAACAATAGCAAGGTGATTGGCTAATTCTCAAATGCCACAAGAGCTTGGCATCTATAATGCAAGCAATCAAATATTGATAATATTTTTGTAATTTGGATTCCAAGATCCTCATTGTAAAAATAATTGTCTTTGTATTTTCTTGCATTTAGAATAAAGATGTTGTTTATAGACATGTCTTCACTATATTATATCAAATCGTGATAGAGACACAAGAATATCAAAACTGTTATGCATGCCTTCTTTTCTTTAGGCCTCATGACAAGATTAACTTACTCATCTCAACAAAAAAAATGTATCTCTCTATCCATTGTTGCCTAATTTCTATTTGATTGATAAATTCTTTCTAATATTGTAAAATGTCAAGTCATTTGTGAGCGTTAAGATATGTGCTATCTTGATGGAAGCTTCTATAGCTATATTTCAATTTGAACAGCCACTTTGTAGTTGTGAACTTGCAAATTGTAATTAAACATTCAATATTAAATTCTCTTTGTAAATTTAAGTTTATTCATTGTATGAAAGACATCTCATTACAAAGGTTTGTTGTAATACTTAAAAGACATATGCAGCATGAATACATTACATCTTCATCATCAATTAAAGATTTTTTTTTTGGTACTTTCTATGTTGCAACTTGGGTAATTTTAAATTGACAAAAAAATGATTGATCTAATCACAAATCACTCAAAAGCAATAAGTAGAATCCACTTTCTAAACATAATTTCAGCAATCTTCTTGGACACAATTAGTCACATGCCAATTTTTGCTTCAATCAAGAACCTCCAAATAACAAGAAGTTAAAGCTTGTCAAAAAAAACTAGTTGATGAATGAATTTGCACATCACATTAATTATTGTTTGTCAAATTTATACAATGCAAGACATCAATTGTCATTTTAATTGCTTGTTTTGTAGTGTATGGAAACTTCTTTGTTCCACCAATGGATTTTGAGGTAATATTATTTGCTAAAGCAAAGTACAATATGATTTTGATACATTTAGACATGCTATTAGAGAACTTATCTTTTGACAATTGTTCTCTATATATAAAAGTCTTACTTGCACCAAAAAAAAAACATGTAATGTATTGCTTGCACCCTCATTCTAAACAAGCAATAGTATTTATTTTGAATCAATTGATTTTAATTGTAGATCCATAAGATCAAATAAAATTCTTTCTTCTTCCAAAACTACATTTAAATGGCCGGCACAAACCTCCACAAACTTTGTATCAATATCATATTTTATGTAGTAAAGCAAATCATTGACACTATCAAGATCTTACAATAGCATTTCTTCTTTTAGGATCTTCTAGTGATGATGTTTATGCTTGTCAGGTGGCAATATTGTTATATAATACTTATGAGACAAGATCCACTATGATCTACATCCTACAAATATTTTGCATAGCAAACATTTATATGGAGGCTATGTTATGTGTTTTTACCATCCAAGTTTCAAAATCTATTACTTCCTTATAATTTTGACTTATATCAATGTTAAAAAAAATCAAATTAAATTTTTGTTTTTATAAATTTTTATAGAAAAAAAATTGAATTGATCTATGAGATTGTTTTTTCTTTTGTTTAGAGCTCATGGATTGTCTTTGATACAATCTAAAGTTTTTTCCATACAAATTCCAAGGATTTAAGATTAGTCGTACTTTAAAAGAAAAAAAGAAATATAACTTTAATTTTATTTATTATTTTTTATAATCAATATTCACTTCTCAACTTCTTTATAGACATAATTTTATTAACTATTATCTAATCTAAATTAAATGCAATCATAGTTTTTTATATTTAATTTTAACCAATGAATGGATCAAAAAGTTGTGGGCTCTTATATTGTCCTTTAAATAATAAAGCTTCTTTAGATTTTAGTCTTTATTTGATCTTAACTTAAATTTTGAATTTATATTTAATTTTAAATTAGATCTTAAACTATTTTTAATGAAATTATAGTATTTTTTTAAAAATTCATCATGACCTAATGTAAATAATTAACAGTTAATTTATATAATCAAAGTAAAGCCAAAATATATTCAAATAATATTTTATCAAATAAAAATATTCATTTAAAAATATAATTAAATTTTATAAATATCATTTAAAACATAAATCTAAAGTATTTAAATAATATCACATTATAGTCTTTAATTTTTTTTAAATTAATGCAAAAAAAATTATTTACCAAATTAATAACTATAGTAAATTGATTTAGGATGTGTATCTTAGTCTTAGACCTAAAACCTATCATAGACTTGAGCCTAAAAAAAACTTATGTACTAAATATGATTTTGCACATGAATTATTATCTTTCACACAAATAAAAATGTACAATTTAAGTTAATTAATTAACTAATTAATTTTTTATAAGTTTTTTGATAACTTAACAGCAAAGTGTATTCCTTATGTTTAATTCGTATCCAACTCAAAGGAAATTGCAGAAACAAGATGTGTGCATGAAATTCTTTATTGTGTTGAATATTTTTATAATAAATTATACTGACATTTTAATATTATGTATTAAAAGTGTACCCGTCTGATATCCAAGAATGTAAATCAATTGGGAATTGAAACATAAAAATATATTTAATATTATTAAACTTATCCCTAACAAGAACCAAAATAGAATTATGTAGCATGAACTGTGTGAAATTTTACCACTCTCTTCTGTGATTGTCTTAAAATAACTAAAAATGTATTTTACATGTAAGTTCTTAAGCATCATGTAAATTTAAAAGAAAATAATTGTTTGATCTTGATTTTAATCTATTATTCATTTCCAACACACACACACACACACACACACACACATATATATATATATATATATATATATATATGCACGAGATATGCAAGAATCTATGCATCTTAATTTGCAAAGAAGAAATAGAAAAAATTAAATAAAAATTAAATGACTTCGGTAATTTCATCTTATAAAACGAGCAATGTCTTGGGTATCATTCTTCTGCCAAGGTAAATAATGATTCATGCAACTACCAAGAAGCTCTTGGTTTGTACACATCCTTGAATGAAGTTTTCAATTTATTTATGAAAACCCTAAAACCATAGAAACCTCATTATCTCTCATGAATATAGAATCTTTGTTGCTTTACGTTCTTCCAATCAACTTATATCATTTGGGTTTCATCTAAGCAGTCAAAAGCAACATCAACAATAATAAGAAAAGAAAAAACAATGATATCGAAACCCTCCAACACCCTGTCAAACCCACACTAAAAACTGCCAGAATGTCTTTCTTCCAAAAACCAAATGTCCCACCTTTACTAGGTGAAGAAGAGGCCACCCACTCATAACATATATATATATATATATATATATTTGATACATTTTTTAAAACTTGTAAAATAAAAATTCAAAAATAAAAATAACAATAATAACATTTATGCATGCATGGAATTGCATTTTTTTTTATTTTATTTTTTTTAAATGGTTCCCTCCCCTTTTTTTTTCTTCCCCCCTTTTTCTCTCCTTTTCAGATGGTACTTGAGGTACATATTCATATCTGAGCTTGCTTTTGTAGGACAAGCATCCACACAACACAACACAATCATTTGGAACCACACCTCTGTGCCTTTGAAGCCATGAGTCCATTCATCAACCCCCCCAACACACACATGGCAACTATTTGAATATTGGTGAATTGATGAAATGGATGAGTTGACCATTAACCCATGGCCCCACTTTTCTACCCATTTTGATGAATGGATGAACATATGGATAAACACAATTTGACTCGACCAAACTTTGCTCGCAAAACTTGTCAATTATTGTTAAAATAGGGTGTGAATGGTATTATTGTGAAATGCTTAGTCCAATACACATCTATGTGGGAAGCACTATTTGTTGACATGGAAGATTTGTTGATGTGGATTGGTTATGTGTATAGAGAGAAAGAAAGGATGAAACAAATTATATAAAAAAATAAAAAATAAAATACTACAATGAGGTAAAATTAGAAGTTTGATGCAAACACACTATTGTCACTCTTGGATCCATCCACTCAACCTTAATAGTGTATATGCATAGTGCTTTATTGCCCATGCACTTCTAGCCTAGTGAAACATGTTGTGGGAATGAGATTAAGTAGTGGAAAAGGTATGAAAAAATATTTTAAAAATTTTCATAAACACATTTTAATTGAATTTTATATGAGTAAAACTTTGTAAATTGTAAGGTGCACAACACATCATCATCTCTTATGAAATTTACAGCAAAATCATTTGGTCATATGAAAATCAAAAAATATAAGCACACACACACACAAAAATCAATTTATTACCTTTACCCTTTCCCACCTCAAATAATGGTATGAGCATTGTTCAAAACCCTCAAAATAGAAACCAGAGGAGCAAAGCCATCAAGAATTGATATAGTAATGTGCTAAATTCCCGCTAGAGAGGTTTGAAATGTTGGGTGAAAATTCCCTCGAGAAAATCCTTCAGTTTGGTTTCTTCACAAGTTTACATACTTCAATAGCTTGGTTGATTGTATGAATTGTTTGTTAACAAATTCCATTTCTTTAGTAAAGCTCATATTGTAACTTTACCGTGAAAACATAATTGTGTGTGTAAAATGCTCTTCACAACATCAATTAACATATGTTGTAACACAGCAGTCTTGCACAACAGAACCAAGGTTATCTGTTTTTCCAATGTGTTATTATATTTCATTTTGTGAATTAATTTGAGGATATCTTTACTATATTAAATATTATGTAAAATAAAGTATATTAAAGATCCTATCAAAGACAAAGTAAAAAGGTTGAATACCTTGTGTTGACAATGTGTGAAAAGGGTTCCACGGTAACTTGAACCACGGTGTTAGGGCGAGAAAGTGCTTTGTAGTCCGAATGTGAACGGTGGAATAGGGAGCGCGGCTGGGAGCGCACCGGGAACTGGGGACGCGGCGAAAATATCCACCATGAGGGCTAAAGATCCACCGAATCCGTTGCTGCCCCGGCTCCATCGTAGCGTTGTAAACTAAATTTGGCTATGGCGTCACTCAACCTCGCCTACCAAGCTTAATGCGCTTTCACTACATTTTACCAACCTTCACGAAGCTCGTGGCGAGTGTCACGACTCACATTCATACAAGCGTGCGGGAACTTCAGCAGGAGAGTGTGAGTCGACGAGCTAGAGAAGGAGTTCACTTTGTTTCTGGATATTTGGAGCTGATTTGATAATGTCTGGATGAATTGCGTTCGGTATTTGCTTCTGCTTCGAGACCAGTGTGGATGATAGAAGTTGAAGTGTTGCGACGAAGGAGCGCATTGGTTGATCGGGAGTATCTTGAATGATGACTGGATTTTTGATGCTAGGATGTAGTTTTACGTCAGGATACGAGGGGATACTTGGCAGGCTAGGGAATTAGATTGGAGCTTTTAGTTAGATTGCTCACTCGTTCGGTATTGTTATCCCTTTGATCGCGTCAGATCTGGCTCTGGAAGTAGGAGCGGAGGAGGCTCTGATTGTTTGCGTTCTGGTCGAACAGTTTTGGTGGAGCGAGGGCGAAGTGGAAGGGGTTTGAACGGTGGCATAGTTGTTGGATTTTGATTCTTGTTTCTCGTTTATAATTTTATTCAATTTAATATTCTAGGAGGTACGATCTTTGCAGCGATGGCGGAATGGCAGGAGAAAGTGCAGTCTATGATCATAGGTTTTGTGTTTGCGTTCATGGTGATGAAGCTTGTCTCAATGATATCTTCCTTCCGAGCTGCAAATTTGCGGGTGACACGAGGATCAAATGAGGAGGGAACGCTTGGTCCGGTTGTAGAACTGGGTGACGAACAAAGTGTTCCTCTTGTCGGTACTGACGAGGAAGTAGAACTCGACGGTGGTGAAGAAAAAGAGGATCGCGCATCTGTTCCCTCTTCCTCTTCGTCTGAGTCTGAGTCCGAGAATGATGCTGCACCAGCCTCTAAGCCTCGTGAAATTGACAATACCGACGAGGTCGGTGATTCCAAAGGTGAATCTAAGGATGAGGGGGTAGAATCTCAGAACCACGAGGAAGTAGAAGAGATCTTTACACCAGGAGCTCAATCTTAGAAAGCCCAGGTATGTTTTCTAGCAAATTCCAGTCACCGGCAATCTACTTGACATTTTTGGTTTTTACTTTTATTTTTATTATTTCAGTCTGTCAAGCAACAGTTTTTCTTTCTCTGAACCTTAATTATTGAAGCCTCATGTTGTGTGTTAATGTTATTCGATGTTTCTTTTGAAAGTTTAGGTGTGAGATTATCTGTGGAACATCGTGATTGTAATGTCAATCTTGTTAAGAACGAGAAGATAGATCGCATTTGTGTATTCGCAGTGCTTTGTTGTGAGGGACTTTTGGCCGAATTTTGATTTCGTGTATGATTCTGCTGGATTCATTGCAGATATTCGACAACTCGTGAAAGCATGTGGGAAGCATATCATTAAATAGGGCTCTCCCAAGTACAGGGCTCGTTAGATCTAGGGAATAGGTGGACTCTGCAGCATCAGTATCTCGTTTTGATGTACCTTGTCTGAAACACCTACGTTTTTTTCTTTTCTTTTTTTTGTTTCTAGTTGGGGGAAGGGGGTCGGTGTGTGTGATCCAAAGATCTGCAGAGGTGTGAGTAGTTTTATGCGTGATTTCATCGGCAACTTCTGCTGCTTCAGGAGCATTCCAGTTTCTATAACATTAAGTAGCTTTTACGAAGTGGTTTCCATCACATTTTTTGTAATTAGCTGCTCTATGTTGATATCGTTCCATCTTTGCATACTGCGGACTTTCTTTTCTTGGTTCAATAAATTTGCAGAAAATTGCTAGATTGTTTCACAACTTGGCTGCAGTTTTCCCAAAGTTGACGCTATGGCGCGTGTTAATTGCTAGCCAGTTCTACGGCTTACTTTTGATTTTTTTGGTTGTGTCCTTGCTATGCTGGAGTATTCAAGTGCGCATTTAACTTCACGCTCCACTACTTTAAACAGCTGATTATTCTTTAGCTGAAATCGTAATGGTGTCGGCTAATGAATTAGGTAATGGTGATGGGTGATCGCTGGTTTACTATGACCTTGTTTTTTTTGATTCCAGTATTGTCATGTTAGCTCAATAGTTGTTCAAACTGGGAAGAGAAAACACACATTTTTTATGTGTGGCCTTAGAAAGGTATCACGATTGCTTTCAGCATTGGGACCTCCTGTTATGCCACTTTTAAGAGTGTTGTACTGCAACTTAACAATTTCGGGAGGAACTCTTTGTAATGGTTTCCTATCAAGTTATGCTGGTAGAACCCTTTAGTTAGGTCTATTATTGTCAAAGTTATGGTGTTTATCTGGGCATTTTGAGGCAGTCTAGTGCATTGAAATAGTAACATAGTCTTCTCAAAACTACAACATTGTTAGTTTAGTCGGTTCAGGACATTGTCTTCTGAGGTAGAAAGTTGTGTTTATGTGGCATGCTGTATATTTTAGGATAGCTAATGTCTGCCATTTCTTAGTAATTTTCTCGGCGACTCTAGCTGTTGATGCAACGGTTGGTCAGGTTGTGCCGGCAGAACCCCGTACCTTGTGACTTATGTTTCCAGGTGGATGATGCTGCTGATGATACTGAGGCATAGTTGGAGGGAGGCTTCTGAGGGCCTTTAAACTATGAGAGTTCCAGCTGACTGCCCGTGCTAAATGGTAGTACTTCAATGCACATGGAAGTATGCCCACGTGCATCACTGGTGTTTGATAAGATCAATGACATGCTGATTATACTCGTACTAGTTACTCAATAACTATATTAGGTCGAGCATTGTAACTTTTCATGTCATATTTCAAGTTGGAACACATTCTAAATTCTACGCTACTGAATGTAGTTCTGCGGACAGCTAGCTTTCCAGACCTAACATAAATGATCGAATAAAAAAATGCGAGGTGGGATTATGTTGTAAAGCTGATACTGATTAGTGTGACTAGGTATTTACAGCTAATCTTGCCCCGTCTGTTTCTGAAAATCGGTTGCTTTTGTGCATTAGCAGGAGTGTGAAGCCAGTTGATCCAATTTATGAACTGGAAGCGCCTTCTAGATCTCTCGTTGAGCATGGAGCTACTGTGAGTACCTATGACAATGATGGAATCTTTTTCCTCGCACAATACCCATGAGACTAGCTTCAGGGGTTCAAGACTATACAATCTATACACAGACAGTCTTCATCTGGTGCTCAAAATATGCAATTAACAACTGGTGTATATTGTTGCGTTGGAATGAACAGGTACTAAGGAGTTCTAAAGCGTTTACCGCAACTAACACTTCTCTGTGACCTCGTGTTCGTAGATTTTACTTGCCAAATTTTTAAAATTTTCAGCTGCTTGCCTGTTTCAAATGATTCCTGTACCAAAGCCATTGAATTACTCTGTGGAACACTTTCACCTATATAAATATTGTATTTTAAAACTTTGGACATATAAAAAAAATCTTGTAAGCACTCGCAATCTTCCAAAAATCAGGAACATGGTTTCGTATTGCAATTCACATTCGATTCGATGAAGGGACAACTGAGTAAGCAATTCACTACACTTTCATGTGGAGCAGTGGAATTTGAACGTGCGAACGATAATTTATTTTTGCGGAGATTCAAAGCAACAAGTTTAGTTGTAACATTTTACATCACGAACGTAAATGTGTGTGAATTGATATAGACTTTTGTTCCAAGTCTACCAGGAGTAGAGTGCAGGTACTGATAATTGCTAATCAACAAGTTTCAAGAGAAAACACGAGCAACAGAGACAAACTGACATTAGCAGCAGTTTCCTACGCATCGTTTGAGTGGGTGAAAATGAATTGACTTGAACACACATGTTTTTTCAGAAGGAATTCAATAACATTCGGAGTTCAAATCTGTGGAACTACAATAAAATCGCTCTGTTCTAAAATCGCTGCTACCTATTGGAATTTTTGCTTCTTTGTGCAATATCTTCAAATTCATGGTCAAACATGAGAGTATGCATGAAGCAGCTAAACGGAAGGAAGTATTTAAACATGTACATTTATAAGACTGAATCAAGTGGTTTATGTGATATCGGCCCGTCAGTGATATTGACGGAAGAATCGATTCTGATAATCAATGGTTGCAGAACCTCAGGCAGATGGTCAGTGGTACCGAAGGCTTCTGCAGCACCGATTAGAGTGTCGTTCTCACCGCCTGATTCTTCGATGGCAGTGCGTAGGGCGTTCCTGGCTATTCGAGTTAGGAGAAAAATCACCAAAACTGCACATGCACAAGTAAATAGTCATTCGACCGTGACATGAGATCCTGAAATATATATAAAGACATTATTAGTGAATCAAATAAATGATTTTCATAACAGATGCAGAAGAGACGTACTTGTGGCGACAAACCCAACAGCCAGCATAATCTGCAGATAAGGACAAGCCAATAACACGTATCAGAAACTAAAGACAGCAAAACGTAAGCTGTGAAGAAAGTTCCATCACAAGTAGACATGCAACTAAACCATCAAGCTCGACTGTTGATAACTAGCCTCTGACAAAACCTTGCCGTGTTTCTTTCGGCTCTCAGTTCAGATTTTAAAAACATAAAAGAACAAGTCAAGGTATAGCAAGTAATTCAGTTGTGTTGAACTACTACCACACGGGCTCGGCTGAAATGAGCTCCACCATGACTGATCTCTGCAATATCCTTGATGGTTGTCCCCGCGTACACAAAAGCCAGTGTCATAGGCTGCACGCACGGCGATGACGACAAAACATCAGCGTAATCTTCCCATCCATTTCTCTTTAGGCCGAGCAATTCTTTTGATATGTTCAACAGAAGTACATATAATGGAAAGAACGGATTTTCAAAGAAGTCTTCAGAGATCACAATTGAAACTAATAAACTCCGATTATATCCAACAATGAAAGAACGGATTGCACCAGGGTGTTGGTAGCCACAAATCATATCAGAGTGTGCATACAGTTAGGTTCCTAGAACATACCATCACTCCAAACCAGGTAGCAAGGATGTAGCTTGTGGAGCTGATAGGGGTGACTGACAGGAGATAATTCAATACGTTGAAAGGAAAAAGTGGCACAAGCCGTAGCAACAGCACAATCTGCACGAACGAAAAAAACACAGTTAATATGTAAGATAAACCTGATTCTTTTAGGTCCACTTCAAACCTACATCTTGCAACTGCATGCATTTGCTCATTTTACCAAGATTGAGCAAAAGCGAACACAAGAAACTTGTGGACACACCAAGTAATGGCCCGCTAGTAATGATTGCTGTAACCGCCTTCATGTACTAAAACGAATACAGTTCAAAACTCTGGTACATAGTTCTACAGACTAGTAAATTACAGCATAGGGTAATTGTGTTTGTACCTTAAAACCGGATTTCCGGACAGCAATTCCAACAGCTTGAAACTGTGGATAATCCTTTAACTTCGAGGTTACGTAAGTCCTTCCGACCTGTATTATCAACATGATCCATTCAGAGAGTATCCGTTTCGAATTACTTATTGCAAAACGACCAAGACAATCTGATGTAAGTGCACATAGAATTTGCAAGCTACATGGTTGCTAGTGCAAAAGAAACTCACCGTTCTGCCAACTAGAAATGCAGCAGTCGCACCCAAGGTCGAGCCAATGGAATCCGTCACAAAGCCAACCCACAAGCCAAATAGATATCCTCCTCCCAGCTGCCAGAATTAGAATCAGTTTGGCACGAAATATTGTAAACAAACCTTTACACAAATTGCACTGAACACCAGCATGATGGTGATAGTTTAACCCCACTGAAATAACCCAAAGATAACGTCCTGGCTTGACAATTGCAATTGTTGGTGAAAGTCTGAAAAAAATAATAAAATTACCGTAAGGATGGAAGCTGGAATTGCCAAGACTGAGCACGGAACATACGCCAACGCCCTGCAAAATTAGCGAGCACCGAATTAAGAGACGAATGTTATTAGACCTACACTAATAGCAGAATAGATATCAAGCAAAAGACGAAACACTAGGCAGAGACTTTGAGTGGCTCAAGCGAATCTTACAAAATAATTGGACCCCAGGCACCAGCATCTTTCTGTACCCACATTAGAAACTGCTTCATGGTCTGCATAACCATTACATTATGTGGTTGTCAACTGGATCATGCAGTATCCCTGTGATTAAATTAAAACTAAAGTATGAAGGAAAATGAGATTGGACCAACTTACAGAAAAAGACTGACCAAACAATAGCATAGAGATACTGTCTGATCTATTAAGTCTTCAACATTTTGCCAATTTAGAATTCAATACTGCCCTACCCATTAATTATGTAATATAGTATTAAGAGAACAAGATCAAAACAAGCTATAGTCATGGCAGCGTCAAATTACCGTTTCAATAGCGTGGGAAAATTGAGGCAATTGAATGCCAGCGCCAAGAATAACGAGAACGAGAGTAACAGTTAGTAATAACCGCCAAACTCTTATGGGCATGCCCACCCGCCATCGCCGCGTCTTCTTACCGATATCTGATGCTGGTCGTTTCCCCGCCAGGTGGGAGCGGATTTTAGCTGAAGTCCCCATCTTTACGACCTTCATGTACACTTCAAAATTTTCTTTTGCATTCGTTTGTCCGAACTCCGTCCCAACACCTATCACCGATATCAATTTGGCATTAAATATGTACTTTGCATTTGATAATCAATGTTGACTAGAACACCTACAGACCGTCTTCCTTTCTCCTTCAGGTGCAAAATTCAGTTTCTAAATTTCTTCACTGCCTGGCAATGCTAACCTCGCAAAATGCGACGTGGTACCTGCAACGGCCTGGCCACTTGATGAGTGCGATGCAGAGATCAAAAAGTGGTTACTGGGTATTAAAGTCGAGGCTCTCCAATTACACTAGAAAGAGCTTAAGAATGGAATGTTGTCCTTTTTTAACTCCAAGGAAACCTAGCTACAATCTTCCGGAATTCCTAATCCCAAGTTGAAATGCATTCAATATGGTACTGCGGCCCTCTTTAGATCAACCCGATCAACACAGTACCATAATGTCAAGGAGTACGACTCCTTCAAATCTCCTCTACTTTAACATCTTCGATTCGAATAGCCGCTTCTGTCTTAAATATTGCATTCAAAGCACACTTGACAACGAACTTTCTTCGAAGTATCAGTGTAGCCACGAGATCTAGATCGCAGGAAAGCAATTCGTAGCTTGTCCAAAACCGACAAGGTTCCCTACAATGTTCCACCGATGTGCAACACGCCTGTTCTCTAGCTCCAGCAAGCAATGTATGTACTTCCGGGGGTTGCCTAACCAGTACAAACCCTAGCAAAGCAGAACTAAGACCCCAACAGAGCTTTCTACAAATGCAACCTCACGCAAGCACAATGTAGCTTTGTCAGGTCCACTCTCGCGAATCACCTCGACGACACAACCCACTCACTGCATACTCACTTTCATGTATGAAGCACCACGACGTCACATCTAAGCTTATGGTCACCTGGAAACACTACCGTGATCTCGCTCCGAGGCCTAATCTCTCACACACACACAAAATCAACAACAGTCAATTCAATTCAAACCTCCGCAACCACTCACTTCAATCCAATCTACACTCACGCTTCCGCAAACCCCGACACGCATGTCTAGGCAATGACGTGCACCCCAAGTCCCACCCCAGGACTAACAAACAACTGAAGCCCAAGAATGAGCAATGGCATGAATTACTAAAAAAAACCCAGCCGTAGAAATCGGTTTCCTCTCGAACCCACACACCGATATCTTTGGGGTCAGTTGGGCAATCACCTGAAAGCGGGGTAGATGACCCAAATCACGAATTTTTACCATACTCGCGGCTTGTGAAGCTTCAGGCAAGTGGCGTTGTAGAGCATGGCGGAGGAATTTTGAGCCCATTTACGCGCAGATCTTGCAGTTGGAGAGTTGGGTTATGGAGCAATCATGCAGTCCGATCGGGGGGCAGGCACATTATTGGATAGAGAGCGGTGATTGAATTCCGGCGATGGCGAACAATTTTCTCGGCGACGAGGACTTGGATGATGAGCGCGGGCGAGAAGAAGAAGAGACTCGCTTTTATCCCTGTTCTCGCGACTGGTCGTGATTGGGTCAATACTATATGGATGAATGATTACTTGGAATCTCATCCTTTGGATGATTGTTTCGATCTGTTCGTTGCGCGAATGAATTTATTAGCTGAGGCTTTTTCCAACCGATTTGGCCCTTCGATCGAGTTTGCATTACAACTTTGGGATTGTGTGGTGTTAGTTGTGTGTGATTTTTTCTTTTATAGAAGGTGGGTAGTGTAAAAGAAGAGATAAAATTTGCATCTTTGTGTATAAATGTTTATTTTGCTTAAGGTAATTATTTTTGTTGTAGTATGTTTCTAATATACAATGATGTTATTATTATTTTTTTTTAAAATAAATAACTTAACTTAATATATTTTTCTAACATCTAGTATGTAAGAATTAATAGTAACTTTATTTTATTTTATTTTTTTTTTTTAAAGAAAGAAATATATATATATATATATATATATATATATATATGGTTTGTATTTTGAAGTATAATTCTATAAGTATTTTTTCTTTTATTTAATGAGCATACTTAGATTATCAATCTTAGATTTTTAAACCATGTTATATTGAATAGAATTGGTATTATTTTTTATTATTAATTTCTCTATATCATTGCAATACTTTTTTAAATTGCTTTTATAAACATTTATGAGATAAGTAGACTTCCACCTTAAATACTTGTACAATCGTTTTTGCAACTTCTTTGATCCTCTTCACAAATGCTTATATGTTTTTACTTTCCTATAGACTCTCTATTCACATTACTGTCTTTTTAAACTTCTTCATTTCATGTATTATTTATATTACTTATATGCAATGTCTTCAAGTTGACTCATATTGCTGAGATTGATAATATAACTTGGAATTTTAATGCTCTATATTTAATACAATATTATATTTTATAGTTAACCAGTAATACACATTGAAAACCAACATGTGACTGTCTTAAACAAAATTGTATATAATACTTGGATGAATAATATTCTATTCTATTCTATTATATTATATTTTTGTATGGCATGTGCACAAGAATGATGTTTATGATCAATATACAAACAAATTAAATATATAAATTTTATTTGAATAAGATGTGTTTTGAAATTTTTGGAATTCTATCATTTGGTGCTTGTCCACAATTCCAGCTTCAAAATAGAACAATATCTTTAAATACTAGTTTTAAAAGTTGCTACTATCTATTTTTATTTAAAATAATAATATTGATTACATAATCCACAGCGGATATGTAATTAATAATATAATTTTGAATTTCATAATAACCAATTAATTTTATACAAAAAATGCATATCATATATCACAACACATTTATATATAAGAAGGTAAAAATTTTAAAACATAAAGAGTAACAATTTTGCACACTATGTATATAATATGTTTAAATTAATATAAACCGTTTTTTTTTTAATCATAAAGTTTAAACATGATGTTATTTTTTAAAACTTTTTTTTGTTATTTTTCCATTAACATTATTAAATAATTCTTAGTATTTTCAAATGTTTTTAGAATTTATATAATTGTTTCAATCATTTAGACATACATTCTTCTGTTTTTTAAAATAATTATTTAGAAAAGAAGGCTTCTAATCAAAAGAAAAGAACCCAATTTTTAAATTTTATTTACACACATAGATCTACCTAATTTGTTTTAGCTATATAGTAAAAATCTATTGGTTCTATACAACATCACTATTTTTTGTAATGTAATCACCATAATATCATATTATCTCAATATTTTATATCAACCATTTTGATTACTAAACTGTGAAATTAACATAATATGTGAAATTATTAATCATTGATAAATGAGATCTTCAACACAATCCTTTAGATCAAATGTATAATACTATTTACAAAATAAAATTTTAGAAATAAAATAAATCTATAAACAGATATATATATATATATATATATATATACACACATATATACATAATACAATATACAACCATGTAATAAAATAAGCCTATTTATATAAATATAATTATATAAATATTTGCACCAATTATAAATTAAAATACAAACTACCAAAAAATTAGATTTTCTTTAATAATATCTTCAATTGCTTAAGAAACAAGAAAACCATCTTCTATTACTTGTTCTACTAAATATAAATAATTTATTTATGTAAAATATAAGTAAAAAATATATATATTTATGTAAAATATATTTATTTGCATATACTACACAATAAAAGCATCTTTAATTAGTTTCCATTCTTCATTGAAAAAAAATAAAGTAATTGCAATTAATATGACTAACGGAGAAATTTAAACAAATGGATCATTTTATACCTATACACTATATGTATTAAAATATAATGAAATTCTAATTTACCAACTTAGACAATTGAAAGAAGACAACCCAACTCAAACAATATTGCTTGGAATAAAACTTGAGAAATATAGACGTAAGATAAAAATAAACGAATTAAATCTTTCAAAATACAAAGATTTATATTCCACAACAACCAACAAACTTTATTTTCACTTTCCAATATTCTCATGTTGCTAATTGCTACCATGAACAATTTGCCTCTCAAGACCAATCTCTACCAATAACTATTCATCCACATTTCATTTGTTGCTCAAGTTCTCATTTAGTTTTGAATTACAAATGGTTTTATTGGGAACCAACCTAGCTTTTCCATAGGATGAATCTTGCTACAAGCCATAAACAAATGGTTGAGTCCAATATATGGCCAATAAAAAGAAGGTTCAAACTACAAGCACACCCCAAATTGCCACATGCACACCCATTATGTCTATTCCCACCCAAGGTCTCTAATTGGTTAATCCAAATTATTTTTTCTGGTCCTCTACTCCCTCTCTTCATTGTTCTGGCATAGTTCTCAATCCCCTTCCTTGCTTTGGCATGGGGTCCCAAATCAATGCAAGTCCCACCATTGAAGCAAGAAAAGAAAAAGAGAAGAGAACCAAGACCCATGCCATAAAGAAAAAGAAATGTAAATCAACCAATCAAAAGTCTTGGGTATGTATATAGACATAATGGATGTGTGTATAGCAATTTGGAGTGTGCTTATAGCTTGAGCCCAAAATGAGATATGACAAAGAGCTAGAGGAGGTGTAAAATACCATCATTCTCACCAATAGCTTAATCAATTATATGCATTGATTGCCTCGTGGAGAAACAAGGGTTAGAAACTATCTATTGACACTAGCAAAATACTGAAAATTAAGGATATTTTACAAACTATAGCTTTAAAACAAACCAGTTACCCACATCTAGGAAACAAAACAACAGAGTTGCAGGTGATTGAAAACATGTGCAACAACCTTCCACAAGTGATCATGATTATGAGTATAGGAAAGTAGTTATGAAGTGACAGGAAACTATCACTAGAGAAGTTATCTCAAGGTCATAATTTTGTTTAATAACTGCCACTCACCTTTGGTCTAACAATACGAAATAAAATTTGCGATATAATGCACTTCGCCATAATCCTTTGATACACAAGCTCTTTCTAACAACCGTCCAATCTGCACAAACTGAAGCCTGATGGCTCCTTGCGGTATCACGACTGTATCAATGCGTTGAATCCTGAAAATAACATCTTTTGATAACAAGTTAAGAATTGTTACTTGACGTGTTATTTTTGGGAATTGGGAGTACAACGGATAAAGATCCTCCGCTGATCACGAAAAATTGCAGAAGCATCTTGATCCGTAACAGCTTCATGAAAATATTCAAGACAATTTCATGCTAAAGGAAATTCTCGAAATTCTACTCTCTGAAGGTTGATATGAGTTGAAAACCCCAGAGCCTCCGGACGGCTCAACTGCACACGAACTGAAAATATACTATGTGTATGCATGTACGAAACACCTCTTGGTTCGAAGCACAGGAGACGGTAACCAGTCTCCCATTTGGAAAGCTTTTCTGTAGATGCTGCTGACAGCTTCAACCAAATTCTTGTGTTGCGCCTAAAATACTCTCATCACCTAAAATAACTTGGCCCTCAGGAAATGATAACATGTATCACTGAATGATAAACTGGCTTCGAGCCCCAGAACCAACGTAACGATTGAATATCGGTTGGCTCCACAGATCTCGACAGCCAGTAATGGTGAAGGCGCTAAGTCATTTTACTGTTATCTATCTCCCTTAGCAGCTTCCTCCTTACGTATCCGTTCTTCTTCCTCTTTGTTGTAGATGGCATTTAGTTGCCGCTCAAGCTGAACGGAGAAACAATTAGCATTTCTAGAGTCAGGACTAATACCAACAGCAGCTAAATCGATCTAAATGTTTAAGTCAAAATAACTCCCTAGAAACTAGTTAATTACAACCAGATCAACGGAACCAGACTGCCTACATACAAGCAAAGGAAAACAATTTACCTGAACATTCCTGAGTTTTACAGCTTGCAGCTCGTCCACAAGGGTTGCAATCCTGCTTAGTTGGGCAAGGTAAATGTGTTCAAATGTTAGTATAAGAAGTTCCATTAATTTATAACTCCGAAAGACATGAAATTGTGATCTCAAAACTGCCAACGTACTCTGCTAGACTGAAAGGGGGTAACTAGCCTGGACTGAAGTTCTGAAACTTGATGTAGAAGTTCACGCTCCCTGTCAGTTGATACCTCCATCTGGCCATCATTAAACAATGATGTCAAGGGACAAGACCACATTCATAAAGGATCTCAGAAAAATCACAGAAAACTACGACAGTGAACCACGGCATAACGCTACAAAGAGAAAGTCGAGCAAAATGGTGTCACCTCAATTATCTTACATGTTAGTGATAGTACAATTCATCAAATTATTGCGATAGGTTTTAAGGGGCAGAAAGCGAATCGTAACATTCAGGAACTATCGAATAGATCCTCTCCATGAGTGAAAATTAGAGGCAAAGCTTCGCAAGGTACTCGGAATTACATAATAAAGACGAACAACCAGTCCACGTATAAATACCAACCGCACAATCATCGCAAGACCTAACACTAAATACTTTATATGCATGCGTTCTCACCCCGCTAAATTCAGTTGCGGAACTCCAAACCACTATTTTAGCAACCTAAGAGATTAGAAAGCTACCAGTTTATTGTGCACACAAGAGCAATCAAAGAGGAATGTGATCATCTTACCAAAACTGCTTAAGACCATAACCAACGAAACTCAACCAGGCTCTCATTCCTTGGTCCTTACCAGACATTCAGGACAATCTCAAACATTTGTAATGTAATCGAGGTAAAAAAATAAATTCCAATCTTACCGAATGTTCGATTGCTGAGTTTGTACTTGAAGTTCGTGAAAATCTGGACATAGAGCTAACAGAACAGACTGCACATTCCGACCCAAACAGAGCAAATGTTAGAGTCAAGGCAATCAAAGGATTACATAGCAAGGACTTGAAATCTTGAATACAACAGAGAAAATCCTTCACAAAACTAATCAAGCTTCCAGGTCCCAACATGCACACATAATAATAAAACTCTTGAAGAAATGACGATGTGAAGTGATGCCTACCGCTGGCAGCGTCTTGTGGGCTGAGACTCTGAATGAGGTGTAATAAACTATCCTGAAGCATAAATAGCACACAATAATTGTTAGACTCGAAAAGGTAGCTAGCAAATATAAGAAAATGCTCACAAGAGAATAATCATGCATACAACCTGGGCTCAAACCACAAACATATCTACCTGCTGTTTTTGTCCATGATGAAGGATTTGCTGGAGTTGAGGAAGAATAGTTGCTATTGGTGTTGTGACATGAGAATTCTGTTGTGATGCTTGCCCACTAGTAGAAGAAATATGCTGCGAAGAGGGCGAATGCTGCAAAACAGGCGTATGCTGCGAAACCCGGAACACCACACAACTCATCAATATGAATCGCAATGCGATCCTAGAATTGTCTATGAAGCCTTGAACCTACGAAGATAGAACGAGGAGATAAAGTCACCAATAAACTGATCTTCAAAGGTTAGGTCAGGTCAAATAGATGACAACTGTGACCTGTCATTTGCGATCCTAGATACTATTCTTCATTGATAAATAAGATACTTAAATTAAACTTAGAAGAGAAACTTGTTAGGGTTCTTTTCAAGTTATGATAACCCCGAGCGAATGCTGTCGTAACTAAAATCCCAGCTTTTAGTGTTCGCTTCCAACATACTCAAAATGTACTCTAATTACAGCAACTTCCGCTACAACGTTCAAAATTTACAAGTAAATCCATCCACCTTGCATCGCCCATGTCAGGGCGAGAAAGGTGAAACCTAACAAGATTACATACGAAAAGGGAAGAGCTGAATCATACAGGAAGCCTTCGTTCAGCGGACATAAAGTCGCCAGTACTAGCAGACTTGGGAAGTGATGCCTGCACAATGAGTTAAGTATGCACCGGGATGAAATGTAAGGTCCGTACGCTGCTTAAAAACTGTGAACACCTCATACACGTCTTTCACATACCTACACAACTAGACCTACAAGATCACTCATCAAGGCTTCTTATACCCTCTTTCACATAATCACCAGAACAGACATTCATTAATCGTATTACTTGTCTTACCAACTTGGAGGATATTACGTCCAGGTTGTACTAACACAAACATGATTAAACATATGTTAAAAGCGATCCTAATCCTATGGAAGCAGCCAACATCAAATGTGAAAATATATAAGAAAGAACATACCTGTGTGTTTGAGGACTTTCGGGAGCTCAAATGAGGTGACTCCTACATAATCACAAATGCCAAAGTGAAAAAATGTATCAAAGTTTCTTGTTACGAATTGCTCGTTTGTTTAATAAAGTTTGAATTCAAGAGGCATAAAAACTAGAGCACATCGAGAGAACACAAAACGTTGCTTCTAATTAACCATTGAATGCAAATGCGTTTCTTTATAATATGTTGCATACTCTGAAAGTAAGCCATCCCGCAAGAAAATTACCTCGAAGTCTGTATCATCTGATGTCACGGAGAAGCGTCCTTTCTGAAGTACAGGTCCTTTCTGGACAGGAGCCTTAACCTTTTCATCTGACACCTCTTTGGTTCCTGAAAATGATCAGCTTCAGTCAACTTGAACATTCTTGCACAACATTTGTGGAACAATGGAAAGCATATGCCTTAAAGATGCAACATAAAAATTGAAAATTTAAGATGAAATATGCGTAGATGATATTTTGAATATACCGCATGATTGCCTCGACATACTGGATGTTTGCGATCCATTTATTGCTTTCTGGTCAAAATTGGAGCGGTCAGAGATGATATTTCCGGATCCAGTGAATGGCCGTTCACGTTGCACAACACGACTAGAATCTTCACCACTTCGTCCACCTTGACGGTGATCCTTATCCCTGCTAAAATAAGTGATCATGAAGTCGTTAAAAAAGGAACACAGCAAAAAAAACATCTACTAAGGGTACTGCAATGAATTCCGTTTCAGTCTAAATTATGTAAACATTGACATTAGAGCCAGCACTACCTGATCCCCATATCCCCTATGGTTTACTTAAAGCTATCCTAGAAACATGACAATCGTTCTTTACAAAAGCATACAAAAGTGATTGAAGGCGTTGTGAATCCAATAAGTAGTAATAGCATTCTATGCTTTCATCTCACCAGTCCCACATATATGTTAAGCTTGGGAGCTTACAAAAAGCATTCCAATGGGACATCAATAGATAAAAAGTGAACCAGGTTAGGAAGATAAACCTGTCACGATCTCTTTCGTCCAAAGTGGTGAGCCCACGGATTGACGACAGAATACGCTCGCTGCCAACGCGACGTATTTCATCTTTTTCTGAACGCTCATCGGGACGTCTTGGGTCCCTTTCTTCCTTTCTATCCTTATCATCACCTCGTCGTTGCTCTCGGTCCTCCCTTTCCTTACGTGTCTCATCTGATTTCCGACTTTCCCTCGGAGAACCATGCCAACTAGGACTCTCACCGTCATGGTCATCCCAGACATCAAACCGACCACTGCATGTATAAACCAATTTAATTACCACCAACATCAGCAACACAGCTTTATTGTGGATTGCACATATGAGACCAACACTAAAGAAACAATAATGACGAAACTCTTGAGTCAACGTTTATTCGTGTAAAAAGGTTTCAAACAAACAGCTCATGTTAGGGTCTGTTCCATGGACTTGACAAAGAATTCCGTCAACAAACTATGAGGAGTAACTTGAATAATCTCCGATAAACAATTGAAAACTGTCATCGGTGCCAGGAAAGTGTACTCACATATGCTTAGGCTCTTTCCTGCTAGATAGTGGTGCAGTCCTACAAGTAGAACATGTTACGTCACCGTTTAAAAGCTTCAAATAAAACAACCGATATATAGTAGCCTAATTTCAAAAGTTGCAACATCATACTAATTCAAGTATACTGCATAGAGACCTGGCCCTAAAGGCAATGTGATAGGACTCATGACATCTGATCAAACGACTACACTATTTAAACAAAACTGGTAGAAATACCCCCAAAGCTCTAAAAGAAAATGATATTGCACTAGTTACCTGGCACCTAAAATAACAATCCAGCGTTGACTCTTATATTGTGCAACTTACACTCACCTAGATATATTTGCAGATTTAGATTGTCCTGGATTTGGAAGGGGTCCAGATCTGATTCTTGTAACTCGTTCTCCTGCCTGTCGTTCACACCAATCGACAAAATAATATATAAAAAAGGAAAAAGGAAAATTAAAGGTCACAACAGATAGAAGGCTACATCAGTCACCGAGCAACGAACCAACGTTCATACGCTTAATTGAAGAGGTGGAGTCGACAAAAGATGAGCTAGACATCAAACGTGTTGAGTTCATAAGTCATATCCACATTTCTTACATCATTTGTGGTCTCGGCAATGATTGAATGAATGGTAACTGGTAATTGAATTCTGTCGGACGAAGATTCATGACAAAGTGGCGGCTGAGCCAATGGGGATAAACAATGCAAGTCGGCCTCCGTGATTTCTTCTTTTGATGGAGTAACTGGAGCTTGAGAAATCTCTTCAACTTCCTTGTCCACAGCAATCTTTAAAACTTTAGCGACTACAATTTCTTCATCATCTTGAATCTGAAAGGAAACGCCACAAACATTGATTTTAGAATCAGAAAATATTTTAAAAAAAATGATCACGACGACAAACCGATTGATGAACCGGAATCAAAGACAACATCGAAACTAAACTCTATCTTAAGGTATCACTGTCAACCTTTAAAACTTTGAACAAGATGAATCGTCTTGGAAGTAATTAATGACACCCACTTCTGAATTATGTAATGAAAACATAATGTGAAGCTAAGCAACCCCTCACAGTCTGTCATATACTGCCATTCCATTATGGATAAGCACAATCTTTAAAACCTTAAGTTCTAATGAAACTATCAATAAACGGAAACTTCGGAACATTTGAAGTGTAACAAATATCCGATGACAGTTTACGTCAGATTTTCCACATGCTAAATGAATTTTAGCACTTAGAAATGGCAAGGAGACAAAAACTACAGAGAATTCTGTTATGGCAAACTAAAATGTTGATGAATGATGCTTTTCACAACAAGGTTGCGTGCTCCAACAGCTCATGCCTCAGGAATTCACCAAACATTCAGGATATTGAGGTTATTGTAGAGAGTAAATTTTTATGTGATGAAAACAACAAAGTAAATACAAGCACGCAGAATGCCTTCAGCATAACTGTAAACAAAAACACACCAATGCTGCTTGAGCCTTCAAATCTTCAACATTGAAATTCCAAGCGCTGACTCCTCTCTTGTATTCATTCTGGGCAAAAGTGCCAAAACAAATATTAATAATAAGCAACAGCTACCACACTACAATCACATAGAAATCGAATTAGTTTCCTAATTATAACAAAATTCTTAACAAGAAACTTCGACAATGCTAACGTAAATTTCGACTGGGGGTCACAAAGATTGTCAAGTAACATTAGCACGCAAAAATTAACAATCAACACAACAAGTTCTGAATCTCGACAGGGACTGTTGCAGCTTCACGTATCAAATAACGTTGTTAATAAACAATACGAGAGCCAGCTTTTCTCAGTCGAAGCAATACCTGAGATTGAGCTTCTTGCTCATCGTACGGCTGGATCTTTTGAGCTAGCCGATTGGCATCTTTGATCTGCAAAGCAAGTGATAAATACAACCTCGCGTAAGATAATATTGCAACTAACTAAGGACTCCGAAAACTTCAAGAAGATTATTAATGATCAAAGCTGAATGGTAAGCTCACCCAACATAAGTAGATGAATCATTGTTATGCTCAAGAATGTGTTAGACAAACAAGAAAAAGGAAAAGAAAACCTTGAGATTTTTCACACGCTCTCCTAGAGGTGGCAATCCCTCCAAAATATGACGAGAGATATAATCTAATGAGCGAGCCTGCTTGAAAAATGAATGTCTCAAAAGCTTCTCAGCAGTAGGCCGTTTGGCTGGGTCCTTTACTAAGCACATTGCAATCATCTCCTTGAAAGACTGCACCCAAAAAAAATGAAACTGGTTATTTACATTCAAATGGTATCATAGTTAAATGCAACTTTCCTACACAGTCTGAACATTTAACAAAGGGAGCAAACTTGATCGGACAAACCTTCTCCAACGAACATAATGTTCCTCACATAAACTGCATATCCTCATAAAAACTCCAAACTTAAGATTGATAATAGAACATTACATACGAAGGGGAAAAAAGTTCTATCATTTAGAGCACATTGTGCAATTCGATATTGTACTGAGATAAATAGATTTCTAATGCCTTGATACAATTTAAATATCCATAACCTTTCCAAATTTTAACGCAAATAGAATACTTTTATATATATATATATATAAAGGATAACTTCCACATCAAACGAACCTTGGAAAATTTTTTATCGCGCTCATAATCCAGCCCAGGAGGAGCATTTTGCAAAGTCATCAGCAACACCTGTGGCACAGAACAATTAATATGACACAAAAGACCTGGTAGATGTCATCAAATGACAGTAGATTTCAAATAGAAGCAGGAAGCAAGCGAGGTTTTTCGGAACAAACAGTAAAGGAAAACGTTCATGAACATGAAGAGCCAGAGGGTAATCCTGAAGAGCAGTGTGTATGACATCCAGGGTATGGTTAACAGTCTAAAATGTGTACCTTCATAGGAGGGTACTTGGAAAAAGGTGCATGACCATGAGCAAGCTCCAGAGCAGTTATTCCAAAAGACCATATGTCGGCTCTGCCATGGAGAAAGACAATCAAAACTAGGATGGTAAACATTTCAACAGAAACAGACTTCCATAATTACTCAGAAAAGTTTTTGAGCGGAGGACACAAAAATTATCCACCATCCTACAAGAAAACCACAAAGAAAAGAAAGGATGATAAATTACGAACTTGAAATCGTAACCATTCAGTTGTTCCATAACTTCAGGTGCCATCCTGAAAATTTATAAGAGCAACCAATGAAGGAATTAACATATTAGTTATGCTTCACACCTATATACGACATTGATAACTGACTTCTCAATTTATTATCCACCAATACCGAAAGGCGCAATCAGGCAAAAACCAGTCGCAAAGGGAGCAGAAAAGTAAACACATCAAATAGAGCAAATAAGTCAAACACCAATATTTGAGCAAGAAAACTGCTCTAACAATTTACTGCGTGGAGGATATAATAGAGAGCAGAGAAAACGGCTCGAAAAGTTAAAGATCTCGTTTGCAAAGCAAGAGATTGAAGAGTGTATCTGTACCAGCAAGGTGTTCCAACAAAGGTATTCCTGGACCGCTGTCTATCACCAGTGTCGAACATACATGCTGAAACACCAAAGTCTCCAAGCTTCACAGATCCGTTTGAGTCAACTAATATGTTTCCTGCCTGAAAACAGCCAACAAAATGCACCACATAAAGTGCAAGTAACACTATTTACACGCAGCCGTTGGAAACAACACCTCAGATAATATAGTTTATCTACCCTTCCAAGTTTAAATTTAATCACAAGCGCGCACCGGCATGCGCAGTAAAAAATGATAACCGGGCTACCAGACGAGACTATCAGTAACCATCAGTTTAGTAGTGACATATCACCCTCTTTATCATCGCTTCTGCACCACCCAGTATGGGATGCATGCAAATATGCTTAAAGTATCCACTCTTCTTCTTTAATGGCGAAGTTCCTAAAACTCTCGTAAATCAACAAATAGAACTCCAGGAACAGCATTGAATATGAGTAAAAGGTACCTTCACATCTCGATGAATATGGCCCTGACGATGAAGGTACTCAAGTGCTTTTAAGGATTCCTTCAGTACAGTTGCAATGACAGGCTCGTCAAAACCATCTGGATAAGCCGCTTTCATAATATGCAAACATGATCCACCTGCCATGTAAGGCATAACTACCCAAAGATTTTGGCCAACAACGAAGGAGCAGTATGCTTTCACCACATTCTGATGATTAATTAGGCTCATTGTCTGAGCCTCGCGGCGTATATCATCCTGCACCCAGTCATATACCATCAGCATCTTTCTTCACGAACTTGTTCTTTGTAAGGACCTCCAGTGCTGGTAGTAAAATAATGTCAAACAATGAGGCACACGACTTCCAAGTGCGTAGTTCAATCCTCGGAGCATTATAGAATAATATTGAAGAAATAATGACTATTTCAGACAAAAGACGTTCAAACCAAATAAGACAAATTTCTTGTTATTAAAATATTAAAATTTTGCATTCAGTCAAGTATTCCGGACATTAACTCGGTAAAACATTTTAACTAGAATATCACTCAAGTTAAAGCAGTAGCATGACACTTACCAGATTACTGTTGCATTTTTCGAGATCCAAGCTCTTAATCGCCACAATCTCATTGTATGTAACGCAATGGGCCCTATAAACTATCGCACTTACACCCTGTCCGACTTCTTCATAAAGCTTGTATTCTGAAGCTACTAAAGGATACGTCCGCTTTTCTACTTCTGGCAGTGTGCCACCTCCTGTCGGCATTTTGAATGCAGTGGATTGATATGGAAGTATATTATTGAGTTGCAGAGGCACTACAACCCATGTCGTCTCCTGATAAATGGACTGGATAGCACTTAAAGCCCCTGCTGTTCATATCATTATCAAATCTCAATTAAAAAGTCTATAAGAGGAATCCTTTTCTATCTGTACATCACGCTTTCAACTGAATCTGAGTAGCCCTTCATGTTCAGGGGAACTCCTCAGCTTATTACCTCTGCATCGCCAGTCTCCTAAAATGGAGCAATCTCTGGAACTCCCGCATCCCAATACCACACCATCACCTTGTGTTCTAAGCCCGCTCACTTACAGGCAACTGACCTGATCTGTTCCAGAACCTCGAAATGTACCATCCCTTAATGAAGCCACTAAACCAGCTTTTAGAGCTTCCTTCAATAGTTCCATAAAATGTTATGTCTCAACATTCTTCTACTAAACTTTTGTGATAATCGAGCTACCAATTGTGATATCATGTAGCAAGAGCATTATCACTTGATCTGTATATGATAAACCACACCTCAGAAGCTCTTCTTGCGTGTATCTCAGAAACGTCAGTGTCATCGTCCCTGCAAAACAATCATCATTCATAAGTACAGAGACGTCACATAGAATCACGTAAGAAACTTTCCCACTCAAAACGCGAAACATACACAACATCAGCCATCGCAGTCCCACGGCCAGGGATTGATCCTATGCAACACTCCAGCTTCAAGATAGAATGAGGTAGAGCTGCTCCAAATGCAAAGATCGATTTGAAAACGTCATTGGTGGAAAGACGTAGTTCATGAACTTGCGAACTTACTCAGCATGTCTTAGTTTCATTTGCACAATTCCTTCAGAGTATCAGTCTCTCAAACTCAACATGATATCTCAGAGTCTGGGCAGACGAAAGACAGTGGTATTCTAAATCACTGTGATTCTTGTTCCCGAACGTGAAATTGATTCTTGAATCATGAAATCTGAAAATTTGTTAAGAAGAGCCGAGTCCAAAGCAGACGTATTGGGATAACTTACGGAACTGGTAAATTTCAGATATCTTACATAAACCAGCCGCAGAGACAACAACTAGCGATTCTTAGTCAAAGTCCCCTAAAAAGTTACACAGAAGACCTAATACATCTCCATCAGCAGCACATCAATAGTGGAGTATACTAAGAACCACGTACGAGTCCAACAAGTTAAAATCCATCACTACTAAGGGAAGTCCCTTCGTCACGAAGCAAATCCAATTACTTCATTTCAATAAAATTGTGAAGACTCACTTTACAATTGTCTGTTACCCCTGGCATATAACATGCCCTGAACATGCAGGAAGAATATAGGTTATACTGCATTCAAGCCTGTGCACTACAAACCCTAATCCATATTCTCAATGAGACATAATCAAATTTTCCTTTTCCTTGATTGATTCAATCAATGGCGACGCTGAAACGGATGACCGATTAAACCTCCAAATACAAGAATTAGAATATATACGATTGAAATTTTACCAATCCGTATTTAATTTTGAAAAAAAATATTCCTTCGACATTTTCAATCGCTAAAAAGCTCTTGAAAAGCCTACAAAACTAGGACAAAGAGCACAAAGTTCTGCGAAAAGTTCGATTCGAGCACTCCGGTATTTCAGTTCAATGTAGAGGCACAAGGACGGAATTCTACGTGTTAGCAAAACGACCAATCGCTGCAGACGAACTCTACGACTTTCTCATTGTCAACGTCTGCGGATTTTCGGAAACCCATGAATTTCACCGCAGGGGAATCGAACGTCCTATTCAAATCATCGTGACACCAAATTTTCAAAAAACAAAACAAAACAAAACAAAACAAAGAGGAGAAGAAGAAGAAGAAGAAGAAGCTGATGATGATGATAGGGGACCCGAACTTTCGCTACAGTAAGGGCAAAAACAATAAAATTATGCCGGGCCGCTTGTTACTTTGATCGTAAAAGAACTGCAAGTAATTCAGACTCTAGCTTCTACCCTAAAACAGAGCTTAGGTTATGACCAACGAGGGAATCTTGGTGATTCAAAAAAAATCTTGGCAACCTTCGTTTAAAATCCACAATGTACCTAAATGGAGATGAACAACTCGCTCGATCGCATACCTCTAAACTACGATTCTTCTAAATTTCAAAAGCAGCCCAGAATCAAGTCATCACAAGATATCCCACAACAAACTGAACTTATCATAGCAGACGCTCCGAACAAGAAAACAAGGGCCTGAACTACGGTTTAATCGCTGTGAGTTTGTGTACAGGATTCGTATACGATATCAGTGATAGAGACACTGCTTCGAGTATCGCAATCTAAGCTGCCCGCTTGCACAAACTTGTGGGAAGTACATTTAAAACCAAGAAGGTGAGCAGAATAAACACTCCCATGCCCCATGTTACCCCCTCCAATACCAGCCACACCTCCACTTGTGAGAGGCAATTTACCAATAATTCTCTACTACACTTCTCAAGGAAGAAAAAAATTCGGTCCGCCCTATCGGTAGCCCATTATAATACAATAATACAGAAAACTGGAGCACACTTTCTTCTCGCAGGCGAACAAATCCCTCGTCATTCATTTGCACAGGTGAGAGTGTATTACCATTCTATGAATACGATTGACAGCTTCTGGCGCGCCTCCCACCATTATCACAAGCGATCTCAGACTCCGAACCCCTACCCTTGAAAATCGCCTTAGCTTCGGTGCAAACTCTCACAATCTTTAGCCAATCAACAGCACAGAAACATTGTCAAGTTGAGGTGCGAGGGATTGATCTAGGTCATACACTACCTTCCAACCTCAAAACACAAAATAAAGAAATACCACCACATCTGAGACCCCAATCTTCCCTTACTTCCTCAACACACACACACACACGCACCAACTCGCCACTTGATACCGTTATCAAACGCTTCTAAACGGACGCAACGTAAGACATGAGAATCTTCTCGAGCCGGAGCGGACTATACTACTAATTACCTACGCCATGGCTCCGCCTTTGCCACAAATCATCGTGAAAAAAACTGAAAACTCCTCGTCACCGAATCTAGTGCTTGACTTCACAGCAGCTCTTTCTCCCTCTCTCTCTATCTCTCTCTCGTTCTCGCTCACGCTCTCAACTCATCCGAAAAATCGCCTCTCGCCATCTCTACCTTCTACTCTCCTCGAGCTGCTCTACGTACGCATAAGACCAGCACCGCAACCGAAAAATTCTCCATAATCAAAGAGTTGCCAAATTCAACCTCGGCCTGCACCGACTCAATACCAGCGACGAAATTCCGAACCCGTAAGCCCCATGGCGCACCTCTGAGCTCCCCCGTCCACCGAGGTAACCGCGAAATCTCCTCTGCCAAAAGCACCCCCGCACCCGGTGATTCCAACAACCCGCGGTTCTCCCTGCACGAGGAGGCACAGAGACGTCGCCGTATGATTCTACGGCTTGCAGCAGCAGCGCTACAAGTGCAGAGTCATCCTCCTCCCCTCCCCCCCCACCCCGTGTGATCTACATTACCCCGCTGCCAAGAGCAGCAGCAGCAGCTTATTGCGAGAGAGCGAAATAGAAAGAGAGAAAGAGAGCGAGAGAGAGCGGCGATGACGGTCGCGAGAATCACTGCATCCCCCCAGTCCTCCTCTTCCTCCCTCTCCCTCTCCCCTCCCCCGCGCCGGATCCCCTCTCTCCCTCCGACTCTGTCTCTCTGTGTCTCTGTGGCGGCCTCACCCACCGGCCCCTTCCGGTCACCTTCTTCACCCAGTGAATTAAACCCTATCGAACTAAAAACAAAAAACACACCCTCGTGCTGCTGCTGCTACTTAATCTTCTATTTGCTAGCTTATCGAGTGTGCGATCTCTCATCTTTGAAGCCTTTTCATGCGATGTCATACATACCACACAAGCAAAATTGCCTTCTCTCAGGCAGGCAAGAGAGTTTTGGAAAAATAGGCCTTTGCGCTCTCTCTCTCTCTCTCTTGCTCTCTCCCCTTTGTGTGCTCAAGTAAAGGGTCACTTTGAAGGGTGGCTACTGCTACTACTACAAGTGAACCCTCTCCGAAAGGTTCTATTTCTTTCACATTCCCATGTGTTTTCTTACCCTACAAAGCAAAAACTTTCATTTCTTTATTCTTTTTTATAAAGTTGTCTTACTAAATATGCGTGTAATAATAATTCTACACTTTTTCATTCAAATGCATCAGAAATATTATTTACATGGTGCTTATGAATTTTTCACTTAAAAGCAGTTCACTTTTGTGTTGTAAAATAACACACACTCCTCTCTCTCTTTGTGGACGAGTCTGTGTGTATATATATATATATACGATTGTAGATACTTCTTTCAACACCTTTTTATCCCTATGGAATTTCGTTGATATGCATGGTACATCCTTGTATTTATTAGACCTGGAGGTATCATTGGCAATCCATGAAACCTCTGAATGTGTATATAAAACACAACCACCCTGCTTAAGGAAGACGTCCAAGTTCACCATGATATTTTTGTTAATGAGACTAACTTTGAAGTAATACATTGTGTTTTACAAATATTTCTCTATGCTATGTTTACAACCCATTCACTTGTCTATTCTAAAAGTGTAATATCCTGATCACAAGTGTAGGCACAGATACCAAAATTTGGGAACGATTAACAACTTAAATTAGTAAAATGAAACGAGCTTTTGCACAAGAGGTGTTTTGATAAGAATTTATTAATTAGTTACAATACAGATATTTGTATATTTGAAAATGGTACATCAACATTCATCAATTACAAACAAGTATATTTACCACATTCATAAAAACTCAATGGAATTTCAAATATTGAACTACCCTAATTCAAGCCAAAAGAGACCCCAACAGCAAGCATGGATCTAAGAACAGAGTTTCATGTCACAACAAGTCATTACAAAACATAATCATGTAATAACTATCCTTTGATAAAGTTTCATATTAAAAATATAAAATCACCATAAAAATAAAAAAACTGCTTAAAAATGGACGAAATGGGGAAATCAACCAAAACTCGAGGAATTTTGTAGAATCGGTAGATCCGAAGCGGGTGGACATGAATAATTTGAACTCACTCTTTCTGACTTTTAGTGTTAACATGAAAACCAAATTATTCCCCAAGTATATTCATAAAATTAAATTGGGTGCATGAGCATTAATGAAGAAAAAGGGGAAGGGGAGGGGGGGGGGATACCAATCATGGGTGACCCTTCTCCAATAGAACTGACTCTCTGACTCTGACTGGCCTCCACCCCCACCCGCCTTACGGCGTCCAAAGCTTAACGAACCCGGCCCGTGATTGAGGGAGGAGGAGCGAGGAGGAGGCCAATGCGTGCTGTGTGAAAGGGGGTCTCTGGACTCGTGACGATTCCGCCAGAATTAAATTTTCGAAGGTGCAGACGTGGATTGTCTCGTAATCGCAGCCTTCTCGTCACATCCAACCGACGCCATCCCCCCATTCCTGCAGCCTTCAGGTTTGGGATTTGGTTCGTAATGCTTTGGTACCGAGGCTGGGCTATGGGACTCCCATGTCAGCATGGACTGACCTCGTTCATTCATCCATTTACGCATTCATCCACTTTATAATTCATCCATCTTTCCATCACCACTCTCAATTGCTTTACATTTAGATTGCCCGTCGGTGGGAATATTTTGTCATCCATCTTCATTTTTGTGAAGATGCAAACATGACTTTATTTTTTATTATTTTCTTTGGTGAGTTTCCACATAGATTTTTTAAATCAAATCAATCATTGATGTTATAAAAGCATAATAATAAAATATAATAATTTAACAATATTATCATGCATTGTTGTAATTACTCTGTGAAACCATGATACAGGTTATAGTTTCTAATTATGACTGTTCTGGGTTTTTAAAGATGACCTGGGAACATGGTGTTTGTGGGTAACATGCAGTTAGAATTACATATGTCTTGTATTGTCCTTTGAAGACTGCTACAATGTTCATTACATACAAATGACATGAACTTTATTATGCTTGTTCAAGGTTTGAATAAACAAACAGCATTGAAGGCATTTGCTTCTCTTTGGGAGTAACATGGTAAAGCAAGTTATTGGATACAATATTGTGAAAGACAATAATGAAGCACAATGCAAATAATGTCACTAGGGATCACACAAAAATGTTCATTGAGTCCAAAGAATATAAATATAAATATAAATGAAATAATAAAAAAAAAGTAAAGTATATGCAAGTGCAAAAAACGAATGAGAACTAATAATAATAATAAAATTACATCCATAAAAACATATGTACACGTATACATATAAATTGCATATCTACGTGAATTTGATGGTTGTATATATGTGAAAAAAATCAAAAAAATCAAAGACCAAAAATCAAAAATCAATAACAAATTGACTTCTAAAGGTAGGAATGGTATTTGAAATTCGAATGGTTGATTTGAACTCGTTGTATTCCATACTCTAAGAGCTGACAAATACTTGAATCCACAATAATTTATTATAGAGTACAATGCCCACAATCAGATGAATGTTGCCTTCCAAAAACATTGCATCTCAACTATATCCATAAATACTCTATCATGATTCTAACTTAGCCAATCCACTTAGATATAAGATCCTGTAACACCCACTAAAACTGTTTAGTCAATTCTTTCTAAAATTGGTGTGAAAAAATCTCCATTCAAAGTTTCCAAAACTCCATGAATTGCTACTTTAACATACATAGTATAATATTTTATACAATCAAAGATTCTTTGTCAAAATTTATTAAATGTTACCCGTTGAATCTTTGCTCATTGGTTGTTATTTATTGCTGCATAGATTTTAATTTTAAAAAAAATTACAATATCAGAATTCATCACTGCAGCTTTGAACTAACTTAAAACAAAAAAATGTGTATAATGATGATAGTAATAACCATAATAATAGTAATAATAATAATATTTGTTTATAATTTAAATCATTATGTAGAATTTAAAATTTATTGAGTTGAGTTAAAACTTGACAATATCATGAAAATAAAACTGAAGAAACGAAATATCAATAAAAAAAATTACCATGATAGTATTTCGGCATGAAAATTTGTGGTGAATTTGTTTAAATTTTTAAATTCAATGCACTATTGTGTTGTGATCATCGTATTTCTATTTTCAGATATATGAAGATTGCATTTTCTTTAGGTTTTTGAGCAATCAAAACACTGCATTGTAATCAAAATTTTCTTACAGAAAATTTAAACAAATATACTCTGCCATTGAAAACAGATCCAAGCACTAAAATCATTCCATTTTGTTCTACATTTTAATATCTTGTGTTTTCAAAGTAACATCAAATTGAAAGCCCGGTGTATGAGTGCAGCATCCTTCTCACAAACACATAAAACAAAGTATATGTTACACAAATTGGATTGTGCATCCTTTCAATTGTTTGATTGCATAAAGTGTCAAAATACTGTATCTTATGTAATTAGTATTTGATAAATTTTCATCCTGAATCTGACTTTTTTTTAATGTTATGTTATGATAAATGTATATATATATATATATATATATATATATACTATTTTGATTTTCTTATTTAAATTCAAACCTTACAAATAACACGTATTGTTAAAAAAATATAAAAAGGAATTCAAACATATAGTGAGGATAAAACTATATATTTTCTAAAGATTAATTTCATTCCAACCTATTGAAAGTATTGAATTTTTAATACTATTTTCCCATTATTTGGAAGAAGAGGTTCATAACTATTACACGTATCAATGTGTGTCTAAATGATTAAAAAAAACTATTTTTTTGAATGGTGTGATTTTTAAAATTATGCTTGTTTGAGATGGTTAAATGACGATAATATCAAATATAAAGGATTAACAGTTGCTACAAAATCAGTAATCAGCTAAAAAGTTATACATTTCAAAACCAACATCTATTAATTAGCATGTTTGTTGAACTGAAGTATTTTTTTGAAAGTTTTCAAAAACATCCTTAATCTCAACTTATACAACCATCAAAAAGTCAAACTCCTTTCACATTTGAACCAAATCATCATCACATCTCATTATTATTTTTGGAAATAATTGTAATAATCTCTTGAAAAATCAAACAATGTTTACAATAGTTGTGTAAGTATTATATATATATACATATATACATATAAAAGAGAGAGATTGAAAGAAAGGTGGAGTTTTTAATGTTACTTCCAATGATATAAATAACATCAGTTATGTCCAGGAAGGAAGAGATTAACAAAAGAATGAAATTGTAGAAAAGGAGTAATGAATATTAGAAAAGGCCATATTACAAGTATGGTGATATATGTATACACTAGGGATGCCAAATTTTTTTACTTCAAGAATAACAACAACAATATTGTCAATCGATTTCTATCAATATAAAGTCAATGACTTTGATACTGGTTATCATATCTTTACATCTATTCAAAATAACTTAAAGTTTTGTACAGCACTGAAATGACTCCAATGAGATCCAATTCCATTTCTTCAAATTCAAAGTTATGTTAATATGTTAAGTATCCAAAACCAACAATATTACATAACATGGGGCCCATCAGAAAGGGTGGTAGGTGGGCCCCACATCCAAGGTACCAGCATGGCATCTCCCAATTGGAGCGCACTCAGGGATCGCCAGGCTGGCACACGAGTGGTCCCCCATCCAAGGGCCACACAATTTAACCTGCGGCACTAATTGCGAGGGAATCGTGCCCGACAAGGGGAACGCATCTTTAAAGCTCCCCGCTCATGAGAGCGAGGCATCGGAACAGAGCGGGTGGTTAAAATGGCCGGCCAAAGTACCTGGGTGGTGGTACTTGTGAGTGTACCTGGGCTGTCCTCCAATGAGTCCATTCCTCCATCCGGCCGGCCGTACGTACATATATTCATCCATACAGTGACGTTCATCTGTTTGGTGGTGGTGAGTGAGGCGCGGCCATTGACTTTCTGCCCCTCCATCCAGACGTAGAAGTTGCGTGGAAAATTATATTGGAAGAATTCTATTGCTTTTGCAATCTCACAAACTTCACACATTTTTCATCATGCAGCCTTGCACACTCTTTTCCAAAATCTCTTGCAATTGGTCAAATTCTATATGTATATATATATATATATATATATATATGTGTATGTATACAGAAATGCTAGTAAAAACTTGTGCCATTGACCACAAATAAACATTGTAAACTATATGTTGTAAATTAATTTTTTGTTTGAAGCTTCATATGATGTGAAACTCCATGTTGAATGCTGTGCCATGTTATGGTGCTTCCGAGCTCCATGCATAGTGATCATGCAATGATACTCTAAGCAACTTGCAGCAATAATTTGCAAATTTTAATCTCAAACTGATCACATGTTAAGTTATTGCTTCACTTTTGATAGTAACAATGAGATATGTAGCAAATTAGAGATGGTTTTTGTCTCATCTAGTTTATCCCCTCTTGAGATGTTTTATATAAGAGATATATAGACATATATACACACTTATATGTGTGTATGTAAATGATATATATATGTCTGAGGCGATTTAATTGTAAAAATAATACCTTTAAGATTTGGAATAATCCTAGAGATAATACGGATTTAAGGAATTCTTTGTAAAAAATTTGAGATATTAGATCATGGAAGGATAAATAATAATAATAATAATAATAATAATTACCATGATAGGTTACTAAGTATAATGAGAATTATACAATTAGATTTTGAAATGCTACAAATTTATAAAAGTCTTGCATTATGTTTTTGTTATTTATGTTGTTGCTTTATCTCAATAGTGTATAAAAGACTTCAAAAATTACAGTAACATATTTATGGATGTTTTATGATATTAAGATTTCTTTTTATATAATACTTTGTGATGAAATTGAGACAAATTTGTGTTAATTGTTTTGGTTTTAAAAAGAAAATGTTCATTACAGACTTATTCTTATTTACTATATATATATATATATATATATATATACATACTTTTTGGACAATCTTAGTGCTTTAAAAACCTATACCAAAGTGGATCTTTGTGGAGCTTACAATTTAATGCTCATGAAACTAGAGACAAACTGATGGTCATGTTTTCAGAAGAGTTACGACTATTTCATGCCTTTCAAATTTGCAATTGCATTTTTTTTTGTTAATGTCTAATAAATCACATTGTTTGTGATTTCTTCAATCAGTTTGTTGTTATTGTAGCTTTTGTTGTTTGTTTCTAAAATCAGCTGATATCCTTATGCATTTTAACAATCCTCTACAACATTGAAAAATAAAAAATAAAAAAAATATAGTTTTATCAAAAAAAACTCTCCAAGATGCTGGATTACACATCAAATTGGACAAGTGTGCATTCAAAAAACCTAAACTACAACATCATGAATGCAGTATTGTGGACAAAAGTTCATCAATGGATTCAGAGCAAAGTAACCTATCTATAAAGAATTCAGCCAAATTGGATAATCTTAGACTGGTGTGGAAGAGAGCCACACACCAAGTCCAGAGACCCTGGTTCTGTTTTGCTTTATTCAGACCAGGCTGTCACATTCTATTCTGCTACCCAAGCCAGCCCCATTAGCACCAGCTCATATGCTCTTCACTGCAAATGTTGCTCATTTACTACTTCTGTTTTTGTTTTACACGGAAATTGAACAGGGAGAGACGATAACATTTAAATCCTCATTCATGGAGATCAGTCCACTTTGCAAAGTCAAAAATGACATTGACATTGACTGTGCAAGTCTAGGATTGGTCATGGCTATTTTTACATGGATGTGGGATTTGACACAACACATAATTTTATATATATACATATATATATATATATATATATATATGCGACTGGATGATACCATTTCATAGATAGTTTTATCTAAAATCAAAAAGAGAAAAAGAGAGAGTGAGAGGGAGAGAGAAAATGATAAGCATCTTAAACATGACTCAGCTTTCAAACATAACAGTGATATTGATATCAATCCTCTATTTTCTCCTTATTTTCTTTTTCTGTTCTATTACTTCTTTCTTGCCTATACCCACTGCAGCCTATTCACTCTTCCAAACCTCAATTTTTTTCAAGTGGGCTAGTAAGGCAGTGAAATTATTCGCCCTCTACATGTCAATTTTGGCGAACTGGAAGACCGGAATGGATATATATATATATATATATATATATAAACATATATATTTAATAACATTTTTCTGCGAATATGAATCCAACTTCTAATATAAGAATTTGATTGTTCGTTGGCTAGCAAAAAGCAGGAATCTGGACCCAACTGGATTGTCCATCACAACTTGAGTGGACCCACTTGTGAATCGAAGTGTGGGCAGAATCAGAACCTGGAACTGGAGATTGTTACTCACATGGAAAGGCGGTTCAATATATATATATATATATATATATATATATAAAATTTTTGTTGATTATTTTGATTTTCCTCCTCCTCCTGCACCCATGCGGCGCCATCCACAACCATGGACCGCAACGTCGCTGCAAAACTGGCTCGCATCCAACCACCCATAGGGCCGACACACAGAACAATGCACAGCAAAGCAAGTTCAGCACATGACTCAGCAGGCTGAGATAAGGGGATGAAGGAGAAGAAGAAGAAGAAGAAGAAGAGGAACAGGAAGAATTCTAACCGACAGCAACCTGCGATGCTCGTTAAGATTTGTTAAGCTTGGAATCAGTCGCATCATGGGATGTTGTATCTTGGGGATAGAGTGAGAGAGAATGAGACTCCTCGTCGATGAGTTTCCGTGTCGGTGGATGAGCTGCTGCTGCTTCATCATCACCTATGGGCTGGGTCCATGCTAAACATACAAAAATCGATTCTGCAAGAGCACGATGAGGAGTATTAAAACGAGGAATTATGACACCCTGGCGTTCCGTTGGAACAGAGATCCCAAGTGTCTGGCATACTACTGTGTTGCCACAGTGCAAGGGCTTCCAGGATCGCTTCTGTGGGATTCCGAAGACGCTGTCAACGGATCTATATTTGGAATATCCGCCCGCGATGTTAGAGACGCTTCTTCTGTGAGTTTTGGAATTTAGAATTAGAAGCGTCGCTGTAAAGCTATGGCATCTGCGGTTTCAGGATTTGTCAACGTTGCGTCGAGACAAACGGGTTTGGGATCTTGTTGCAGCTTGGCGATGAGTTTTGAGATGCATTCTTTCCATGATTGGCCCTCTTCTGTGCTTCATTCTCATCGAAGAGGATCCTTTCGTGGCCTTCCCGCAACCAAGGCTGCTCGTCTTGTGGACTTCCAGAGTTCACTCCTTCGATGCCTTATATTGACTTGTAGCTAGCATTGGAATTACTCGATGTAAAGTTCTTTGAACACTGAAGTTCAATGCCCATCAACTAGTTCAAACTGGGTAATTTTTGGGAAATTGTTCATTCTCGAGGTTCCATGTACATGGAATCCCATCTTTACCTTGAATCTGTTGTGATTTCTTCTTGTTCCCCAGTGGTGCTTGATCAATGACCTTTAAGGTCCCTTTCCAGCAAGTCTTGCTCCATATAGGCCTTCTACCTTGTGCGGGAAACCATGGTTTGAACGTAGCAAACTCCAGACGTTGGGGGTTTTAGGTCGTTGTGGTTGGTAATCAACACAGTGATTGCAGGCGGTTTTGAAAAAGCGATCCAGAGTTAGATTGTACTGTGCAATCCAGGAAGCTTACCAAGTGCTTAGTTACAATCTGAGTGCAAACAGGAATCGCAAGCATGCACATCAGCGTCTCACTGAAGCTTCTCTTTTAAAAGGATCGTCTGTTGCTCAAATGAATTTGGAAGCACTCTCAGGGATGCATCCTCGTTGGATGGTGCTCCCGAGATGCGTTGGAAGGGTGTTATAAAGGGCATGCATTCTATCATAGAAATTTTAGCAGTTATTATCGGATGCATCAGCAATCCCCCAGCCATGTCAGCGAGCTGCTGTTGAACCCACTTGATCTATAATATGCTATTCATTGCTTGCCCTCTCAATCCATTCTGTGGATAACATATAGCAGATTATACTTCTCCAAGCAAGCTTCCACATAGTTTCTCGAGAAGCAGAGCATGCGGTACGAAATATAGATGCAGTGAACAAACCGAAATTACGACTGTTGTCACAAAACTCGAATGGAAAGGAAAAAGACTTGCTTAGTCCTTCAGAAAGGAGCTTGGTGAGAGGATGTAGTGCCCCGTCTCATTCGATGTGACTTGGGACTCCTACAACATCTCATCCTCACAATCGTGAAGCATGCCATTGCAATGCCTCAAAGTGCACATGAATACACAGAAGGCAAATTCTCCACCAAACTTGCCGTTGAAGGAGTATACCACAAAGCCACTAGACTTCTCCACCCATGTCTCAGAAGAGTCAACACAGAATATGACCCGAATTCAAAACACTTAGCGAAATTTCATCTCGAACGCTCTCTCCAACTTCCGTAACCCCGCCATGGAAATTGTTCAAACCCCTCTGCAAGTTTTCAAAATGCACGTGCCGCGAGTTCGATCATTCAACAAATTAGAAGCAGAGCACATCCAACACTCGCTGCGTCGTTCCTCCCGCCGTCCAACCATCGAGAATCTAATCACCACAATCACACAACATGAAGTGAAATAAAAGAAAGATTTCTAACACATTGCGATGAAAAATTCCAAAGAGAAATTGACCCAAATGGGACCTTCAACTGACGATTCTAATTCACCTTCCCATCATCCCCTCCTCCCCCCTCCTTCGATTAATGCGATCCGTCCACTGCCCTGGTTCGAGAAAGACTCCTCCACACTTCCCACCATCGCAGCCAATGCTTCCAAACCCACAAACGGCGCAACCGTTTTTCACACCGAAGACTCGCCGGAATCCATCGCCACACAATCGTGGTGGAGATTGTCGACGGGATTGCGCTACGACGCAACCCAAATCCGTGCTTCTAACACGCATCTCACCACAGCTCGAATTTACGACCTGCACAGCTTTTGAACCCTTCTTCCACGCCTCCAGCCTCTGGAACGCCGAAGATTGGATGGATGGATGAGTGAATGTCCCTTCATCCGATGACGATTCTCGTTCATACGCAGTGTGAATTGTGGCCTTCGTTATACGACCTAATTTTCTTTGTTGTTGTTTAATTTAATTTATTGTTTTGTTGTTGTGGGTGGGGGAGAATATGGGGAAGAGAGGTTTTGGTAGGCGATATTGGTGACATTTTTTATTAGGGCATTTTTGGTTGATTAAAGATTTTTTGTTAAAAAAAGTGTGATAAAAGGTGTATTATTGTAGATTGAAACCATGGGAGGTTTGAATTGAAACATCTTGAACAAAGAGAAAAAAAAAAGGATCAATAGACAGATAGAATATCTATATATATATATATATATATATAGACAAAGGGAGAGGGAGAGAGAGAGAGAGAGCTATGGCATTATTTACGTATCGTCCCAAAATGGGGATAGGTAGAGATCTCCCAGAAGCTGAACTTGAAGAATTCAATTCTATCACGTATGTACACTTGTTTTTATTGAAACACTATGCTCTGTTCAGATATCATTGTTTTTTAAAAATATATATATTTTTCTACATTTTCTTCTTTGATATCATTAAATAATAATAATAATAATAATAAAACTACCATTTGATAATGTATTAGACATGAGCTTCATATATATATATTTTGCATGCAAAAATGTAAAGCTGGTATGTTAGGGCAGGCATGACAAGGTCATGAGCATCACAGACATTAAAAAGCTACTACGTTTGGAGCAGTACATGAGGTTTTTCAATGATTGATTTCAACAATAAATAAATAAATAAATAAATATATATATATATATATATATATCATTTCTTCATTAATCAAACCCACAATATCATTAAAAAATATAACTAAATAGTTGAGATTTAATTAAGATATTGAAAATTAAATTGGAACATTTTTTTTTTCTTTTTTTTCTTTTTTTTGGATGTGGAGGCAAATGTTATCAACATTACAACACTAAAATGCTATAAACGAGATTTTATAAACTGTAAAAAAATGTGTGTGAAAACAGGGAAGAGGAATTCACTCAAATTTCAGAATTAGCAAAAAGAAGAATAATTGAACTTGGAGGCCAAGAATTGTTTCCAGATGAAATTCAATCACAGTAAGAATGACTTTGTTGTTTACATACATATCAATATATATATATATATATATTATAAAATTTATTCCTAATGACCAAATATTGCATGCACTTCACTATATATATATACATATATATATATATATATATATATATATATATATGTATTTTTTTTTTCTGAGATGATAACTTAACACATTAATGTATGAACTTGATTATGGGATTTGGTAGGGTTGGTGACTGTGCTGAATCTGACAAGTTCCTAAAAAATTTAGATGGCTGGCAGGTTTATTTTAATCAAACTTGGGTCAAATTAATAAGTTCAAAACCTAATCAACATCGATGATGTGTATGTTTTTGTTGTGAGTAATCTCATTATGTTAAATATAAACACGCTTCTTAGATCTTTCTCACAGAGTTCAGAAATTAAATCTAACTAGAAAAGTTAATCGAAATATGTGGATAATGCAGGAAAATATGAAAATTGATGACAATATTCTTCTTGGGATTCATTCATCTCTACATGAATGCAAAGATGTTTGCAGAAATGGTATATATATATATATATATACATAATGTAATTTTTATTTTGTTGGAACACAATTTTACAATTAATTTTATATATCTAACATACAAACATAAAAATATAAAGAGACATTGATAACAAAACTTCAAAGTTTATGTTTCCAACACCCACAATTGATGTTTGGTTTAGAGTATTGAAGTTCATAGAAATAATATGCTTTGATAATTATTTTCATATCATTATGAAAAAACTTAAAAATAAGTTTACATATTTGATTACATTTCTAAATAAATAGTTAACTTCCTCGATGCATTTGAATACAAAATACCAATTGAAGGATATATTTTGTGCAGAGAATTCTAGTACGTGTATTAGAGGTTTGTCTCAGAAAATTAATAAAAGACCATTGGTAGTTAATAACTCAATTAAAGAAGATGTTATTGAAGCCCAAGTTTGTAAGAAAAGAGATATTCGTAGTGGACGCAACTATTATGAAGGGTGGGATAAATATGCTTCAAATGCTATGAAGGTTGTTAAACATTCTTACTTTGTTTTAAATTCACTTGAATAAATCAAACAGAAAAATTAATATATATATATATATATATATATATATATATTTGAAGGGAAAATAGTAGTTTCTAAACATTATAACTTTTAATAGACCGTGCATTGCAAACAGGAAATAGAACTCGAGGAAAACACTGTTCACCAAGAAAAAGGAGGGAAAGAAAACAAAATTGATGGAAACGATAGAAAGAAAGAAAGAAAAAAACCAAGTTTACAAGAAAGGTACGGATTTTAATGTGGCATACTAATAGTTATTACATCTAACATATTAATTAAAAATATCCAAGAAATAAATAAACATTACAAAGTTATCATGAAATTTCTCTCCTTGAATAGAATAATTTTGATGCTTTGTAAAGCATTACACTTGTCTAAAACTTGTACCCAGTAATTTAATGCATTATTTTTTTATTTTATTTATTTTTATTTTTTGAAAACAACATAAAAATGAAAGCATACACACTCTTATCATATCTCAATTAATGACATGAAATATTTTTTTAAAACTATTTGAGTTTGTATGATGATAAATCATCTTTTTGTATATATATATATATATATATATATATACATACACACACATACCTCTCATGAAGCTTAAATGGATTTATTGAATAAGACTAGTATACAGTTCAATGACGACATTTGATATAGAAATAATTCAGGTTATTAAGTATTGGCAAATCCAAGTCAATGGTAGAAAGAAAATGGTTTGCTGAAAGAGAACGTGAAAAGGGAAATGATCTTTTCAAGGTTTTGAAATTAAATTACTTACATGATATTTCTTTCTTCATTTTCTTTACATAACCCTCATCACAGTAATAGTAGTAGTAACAACAACAATAACAACAATAAAAAAATAATTTAAAACCACTTTTCTAAAGATTTACAAATGTCAACTTGTAATTGCAATTGAGTTGAATGAAAATCAAATTAAAACAGAACAAATTTTTTTGTATTCTCAGTTATTACAATAAATATATATATATATATATATATATATATATATTTGTAAATTTCAACATTTTTTTATAATACCACATGATATTTTGTATCTAACATTAGTTTTACAATGATAATTTATATTTTAGGCCAAAGAATACAGTGCAAGCATTGATGCCTACAGTATGGCAATTGAACTATACCCAAATTCAGCTTTAGCACATGGAAATCGTGCTGCAACCAACATCAAAGTAAAAGAATTAATACTCCATTTGTTCACTACTATTGTAATTGATAGAAGACCATATATGTACATATGTAATGTTCTGATCTATACATTTTTACAACAAAAAGAGGCCCCATAACCATAGATTAATATAGTTTGGAATGGTGATCTGTTATGCATCAGTTGAAAAGGTGGGAAGATGCAATAAAAGATTGTGATACAGCTATAAATATTGATGGAAATTACATGAAAGTAAGTCCACAGAGTTCCAAATTGAAAACCATGTGATAATGTCATTGTGAGTGATTTTGTATTGTATGTAGAAAAAAATCCAATTCAATCAGTTATATATATATATATATATATATATATATATTAATAAATTAATTAACAATTTCACTCTATTTACTTATATTGCAATTTCTTATCTTAAGCCATAAAAAAAATAAAAAATAAAATAAACGATTTTTCTTTATGAAATGGAGTAGATTACAAAACATTGAAAATTCTGTTGCATTGTGAAGTAAGCTGTAACAATTTGTTTTTGTTTGTAGAAGCTAAAATAATGGAGAGCTAGATTATCCTTTTTGAGTGAATGTAGATACATGTGTTATTTTAAATGATATTGATTAAAGATGAAGAAGAAGGTTAGTAGTGCAATATGAAATAAAAATATTTGCAGGGGTACATGCGGCGAGGTTTAGCAAATTTGGAAATGGATAATGCTGAAGAATCTGTGAGGGGTAAAGTTTAATGAAAATAATTTTGTAAAAATGTAAATTGAGGAAACTTAATCAATCTTTAATCTTGGTTTTGAAAAATCTTTTTATCTGTTTATTTTATTTATTTTTCATAGAAACCCAAAATAATTTTTATCTGATAAATGAAATAAGTCAAAGGTGATGTATATTCAGTAACAATTTGGTATCTTGTAGACCTACAGAAAGCTTTGGAAATGGATCCCAACAATCATGAAATTCAAACATTAATACAACGTGCTAAAAATTTATTAAAAAAGGTTGAAGAAAAAAGAGAAAAGGAAATTGAAGCTGAAAGACAAAAGAGAAATGAATTAGACTCTCTCAAAGAGAAAGAAGAAATGGCCTCATTTGAAAGAGTTTCTACTTCTTGTCCATCATCAAACAATCGAATTCAAATGATAATTGAAGAAGTTGATGAAGTAGAAATTGATAAAAATCTTATAATGGACAACAATCTTCAATCTTCAAAAAGCAATGCCATACATCAAAACAAACAAGAAACATTTGAAGCTGATGAAACAAACACTAGCAATGAAGAGAAAGATAAAGTTGGAATAAATAACAATAATAACTCGTGCTTGATAGAAAGTGAAACCAACCATGAGGTTTGTGATCTTGTTAATAAGAGCAATATTGAAAGTAATATCAATGTTTGTAAGATTATGTATGAAGTCACATCAAACTATAGTGAAGAAAATGAACAACAAGAAAGAAACTTAAGTTGGCCAAATAAATATCACAAGTACAATGCTCAATTAAAAAATTTGCAATCTTTGAAAAATGATCCAATATCCACATCAATAGATAATGAAAATGCAAGCAACATTGAAATTCAAAACTTTGCTCCAAAAAAGATAGAAAACCAAGTAGATTCATTGGTTAAACTTCAAGTGGAAGATATAGATAAAACTTCCAACAATGAACCAAAGAGAAGCTTGGATATAAGTAATGTTGAAGTACCATTAAAAACAATTGAAGTGATTGAAACCCAACAATCCAATGTTAGTGACCAAATTGGTATTGAAAGCAAAAGACATGAATCAATGCTAAATGCAACAAGCAATTTTAATTCAAATGCATTGGCTAAAGAATGGAGACTAAGTGGCAATGAACTATTTTTGGAAAAGAAATATAATGAAGCTATAGAGAGCTACACAAATAGTTTGACTTACCAAAAAAGGTGTCATAATTGATCTCAAATTTGAACTTCAGTAACAATAAATAATGATAAATTTTAATATTGTTGTGTGATTTATATGTAAACTTAATACTTAATGCATTTTTTTAATATCTTATTTCACTAAAAAAATTACTTAACACAAATGTTGCATCAGTAGAGACCAACTTAAGTGATTTTTGTTGTTATTTATTTATTTTAAAATTCTTTTGTACATCATAGCAAATGCTTTCATTCATTTATGTTTTACAGTGCAGCTACGTATTCTAATAGATCAATGGCCCAAATCAAGTTAAAACAATTCAAGAAAGCAGAAGAAGATGCTTCTCATGCTATTTCTTTAGATTGCAAATTTTATAAAGCTTTTTATCGGCGAGGAATGGCTCGCCATGCACTTTGCAACACACAAGGTGCAAAAATGGATTTTGAGGTGATTGAACCATTGTTTTGTAGACAATAATGAATTAAATTTTGTATAGATTTATATATAATGTGTGCAATTTTTTCATTTAAGCTGTTTAATTTTACTAATTAATTTAATTAATTAATTTTTATAGGAAGTGTTGAAATTCACTCCAAATGACAAAGAAATAATCAATTTACTCACATCCATGGAAGTTGAGTACATTCCAAAGCGGCAAGGTCCCATGGTTATTGAAGAAATTGAAGATGAAGTATTTTTAGAAACTAGAGTGAACATGTCATCTCAAGTTTGCAATAACAAAAAATCTTGTGCAAATGTTCAAGAAAAAAATGAAGAGGATGATTGTTTGAATAGCTTTGAGGATGATAACAATAATCATATATCAAATTTATCTTCAAACCAATTAAATATAAAAGAGTGTAATATGATGAAGACAAAGGAAATCAATCCAAACCATGATGTTGAGAAATTTTCAATTGATTCAATATCAAGACAAGAAACAAAATCTAAAGGTACCAATGATTCAAATGTTTTGAAACCTCAAATTGAAATTGAGCTTGAGAAGAGAGCACAAATTGAAAAAGATAAAGGAAATGTATGTTTTTCAAAAGGCCAATATACTTTGGCAATTGAGTGCTATACTCAAAGTCTTGAATATGTTCCACCAAGTGCAATAGTTCTTGCCAATCGAGCTCTTTGCTACATAAATGTACAAAAATCATCAAACCACATCTTATGTACTTAATTAAATTCATTGGAAGTGACTTGCTTTTTTAATTTTGTATTTTCAAATCTATCACCTTTTGAAGGAAATATCTCATGATTTATTTATTTTTAATTTTTAATTTTAAAGTTTTTTTTGAATTTATTGGATACCATCTTTTTTATTGATGTTTCTATGATATTATTACAATACAGTTGCATGAGTATAGAAAAGCTTTGGCGGATAGTACACTTGCCATCCAACATGCTCCGGGATACATGAAAGCTTTTCATCGGCGAGCTGTAGCTTCACACAAGCTTGGTGATCTTGAAAACGCATTAAGAGATTATGAAGTAACATATATTTATTTTAAAACAAATATATATATATATATATATATATATATATATATATATATAATATTTGAATTCATTATTTGTATTATTTCATGGATGTGTTTTTATTTTAGATGAAATTGAATTAATAAAAATGCATACTCCTATTCTTTAAATTTAAGAATTTCACATAATTTAATGCAATTTACAATAACATGTTTTAAAAAAATAATTTATGCAACACAAATCACATGATGTAGATTGTGGCAACCTTTTCTCAAGATGATAAGAAACTCAACAAAGATGTTGAATTGATAAAGAAAGAAATAGAGCTAAAAGCTTCCATGAATGCAAAAGTTCCAATTTTGATAAAACAACCCTTGATTCCAACATCTGATTCTTGTGAAGATGATGGCTTTTTTATGAAACCTGTTAGAACAACTGTATATAAAAATGAGAACAAAACTTCTAGTTCACAAGAAGAAAATATCAATCCAAATATTGGTCAGAATCCAACCAATGCTTCATACAAGAAGAGTGGAGAATTTAACAAAAGCAACAAAATTGAAAAAAAAGATGATGGCCACAACAATGGCTTTCCAAATTCAAATGGGTACAAAAAAATGAAGTTTGCAAAGATTAGGGCACTTCAAAAACCATTCACTGCTTTGGAATTTGAAAGAACGTGCAATTCTTTAAAAGAGAAACATTCTCTAGCACGAGAATACATAAATTCAATTGGCATTCAAACATATCCAAAACTCTTCAAAGAATCATTTAGTGGAAGTATTTTACAATGTTTCATTCATATACTTCAAAAAGGATTTATGCCCAATGATCCATTGGTAAGTGAGGCCATAGACACATCAAAAGCCAATATAATTTCTTACTATTGTGTTCTTGTAAACAATTCTTGTTCTCTATGTAAAAAATAAATATATTCTATTCTAAAATAAATAAATGAATGAGTGAAAAATAATAATTAAAATAAGATAAAATATTCAACATTGATTCTTCCTCTATACTTCAATAGGGTGCTATAGTGGTGCTTCGTGGTTTAACAAAAGTTAAGCGATTTTTGCTTGCATTGATGGTTCTCCAATCAAAAGATAAACAAGGCATTGACACACTATTTTATTGGTTGGAATTTTCTAATGAAGTTGATATGGGAGAAGTTCAACAACTTCGTGAAGCGTATCATGCCTCTTGAAATGATTAAAAAAAAAAAAAAAAAAAAGGAAGAAGAAAAAAACAAAACAATGAAAAATGACAATGTCCACACATGTTGATGTTTCTGTTCTCTGAATGAAAAATAGACATGTGATTTTTTTGGGAAATAAAAAAAAATAAAATTTAATAATTTACATTGTGTGTTTTAATACTTTTTATGAAATTATAACACATGAAAAATTGGATTGATAATTCTAATCTTTATATTATTAAAATTTAAAATATAATAAAGTTTGAATTGAAAAATTAATTGTACAAATTAAAGAAACTATAAATATGATGGAAATATGAAAAAATGTGAAAAACAACATTCGTGATCTTTTTTTAAATTTAATAATAAAAAAAATAAATTACAGGTATTTCCATTCATTTATTTATTTATATTTATATTTTATTTTTTACATACTGCGGATATCACTTGTATTCAAAATTATGTAATTTTAAAAAAATAAAATAAGAAATGATTTTATGTTCTAATAAAAACACTATAATTTTCATATCAAAAATAAAAAACTTGTTTTAAATTAATTTTAAATTTTAAATGTACTTGTAAAAAATGCAGCAATTGATGATATAAACATAAATACCTGTAGTGATAGAATGAGCATCCTAGGTACTATTAAGTATGTTCTATGATATTTATTAGTTGTATTTAGAATAGATCTATATATATATATATATATATATAGATATATTTCATATTGACATGTAATGGGTGATGGTTTTTGTCACAAATACTTAATTATTTTACACAAATTATAACATCATTATTATTTGTATAGTAAGAATTATATTATAACATTTTTGTTTACTATGGCAACTTCTTAGACTTTTTGAAATATTAAAATATTATTTATTTACATATATATATATATATATATATATATATATATATATATATAGTATTTTATGTTTTTTTGTTTGCATCCATTAAAAAATAAATTAAATTATTCATGTATATATCAATGTAAATATATATTTATTCATTTTATATGTTATAATTTTTAAAATTGAAATCTGCATCTTTCTTCAATCCACTTGGAAACAAGATAGAATGTATTACTTGGCATCAATTTTTTTTATGTCTATTCTAATAATTAAATTTTAATATTTACAACCACAAAAAATATATTTCTATCACAAAAAGCTTAGTTACTTAAAAATTGCCATTGTATCTTTGCTAGGCTCTAAGTTAAATGCTCATGGAATTTAAACTCTAGGTTAGTACCTTAAAAACCACATAAGCTGCTATTATGCCACATATCACACAACAATGAAAATGGCAGACTCTCTTCAAAATGACCTTGTCTAATTAATATGATTATTATTTACCATCACTCTATGTATCCATCCTCCATTTAGCCATTAATGTAATTATCTAAATCATTTTTTAAATGTAGTATTCTCACAAAAAGTTGAAGTGCATTAGAGTTGAAATATAGATAAGATAAGAAAAAGATTATTTAAAAGGAATTTCTAAATTAATTTACTTACATTAATCTAAAAACTATGCATCCACCACATTTCTATGGTGATTTTCAATTCCTACAATCTTTGATCTTGCCTCAAAATCCTTAAAACTCATGGCTTTTTGGCCTTCTTTTTAAGCAAAATCAATATTTAAAGTCTATAATAATCTAATAATATAATTCTTCTTATGTCTTTTTTTTAAAAAATAAAATAAATCTTATTCTAAATTACTTTCCACCAATTTTATTAATTTTCTTTAAAATATCAATTACATTTATATACCTCATATTTTATTCAATATATTATTATTTTTTAACCCTATTTTTAAATCTATATTAATATTATTAATATTTTATATTAAAATAGCCTTGAATTTAATCATTTTATAGAAAAATCATGAGGTAGACGAAATGGACATACAACAACAAAAACAAAATAAGAGTGTTAGAAGTATAAATTAAAAAAAAAAAGATGTTGAGAGAAAAAAATAAGTTTAAAGGACAAGATTGTTATTTAGAAATATTAATGAATTGTATGTTACATACAATCTTTTGATTTATTTCAATATGTAAATATATACATATATATATATATATATATATATATATATATACGAAATATGGCTAGAATCTAAATATATTTTTATAATGAACTTAAAATCATGAAAGCTAATGTTGGCAATAATAGAAAAGAATAGTTTTATCAAAAGTGCACTATTAAAAATATGGAAAATAAATACACTAGATTTTGCATCATTATTTTGCTTTATAGGTTACATTTATTGATATAGAAGACTTTTTCCTTATTAACACTTTTTTGACTAATAAACTAAAATTGATCAATTGTATCTTTATTGGATCGAATTATATGTATATGATATTTTTATTAATTTTTACTAAGGATTAATTAATTTTTTTCTAAATGATAGAGATTTGATTTATTAAGAAAGACATTTCTATAAATTATTATTTTAAAAAAAATAGTAGATATATGCACTAATATTAGAAAAATATTAAGAATATAATTTAAATATGTGTCAAGGCAAATAATATTTTAAAACTTCATATAAAATCTACAATAGCCAAAAAAATTGACAAAGAAATGAAGAAGAAACCAAATACTTTCAATTAGTCATGAATTGATCACCTTAACTTCTAAATAACTACTAAAAATATTAAAAGTCTCATATAATAGATCTTAAAATTCTTAGGCAAAATATTATACATACATATATTTATATTTATATTTTTGTTGTATATTTATCTTTTAATTATCCTATAATTTGATGATAAATAAAATAGTCTATCTTTTATAATGCTATTTTTAAAATAAAAATAATCTTAATTTTTAATATTTAAATAATAAAAAAATATTTTTTATTAGTATCATAAAAAATTCGAGCCAAATAAATTATATTATGTATATTTATATAATACTTATCTAAAAAATAATTCAAAATTTATAAAAATAGAAATGGTTACTTCTATCATTGTAAATAAAAAATTGTAAGAATCATAAAAACAAAAACAATAATTTTGAAAAAGTTAAATATAGTTTTATAAAATATTGATTTTTTTCAAATGTCTAACTACTACATAAATTTTTTTTATAGTTAGTTAGTTATTTTTTTTTTAATTTTTTTTCCATTCTTTTTTCTAATAAATCCTATAGAAATATTTGAAAGTATAAGTATAAATTGTTTCTATAAAATCCAGTATAAGAAGGTAATGTGGAAGTGTTTAATCAAAATAAGTCAAATTTAGATATTTGAGATATTTTTCCACCATAAAATATTAGCGAATTTTTAATTTAAACCTTCATGATAGAAGTTATAGTATTCAAGAATTACAAAATCAACTCCCAAATTAACACAAAAAATTATTAATATTCGAATAGAAATTTAGAAATAGATAGACACAGTTGAATCAAAATTACTCAAATATTTGTAATATTTATAAATAAAAATTAAAAAAAAAATTATATGATGAATTTCTAAACTATTATGCTTGAAAGTAAAAAACATTAATATATATGAAAGTGTGGTAGAGAATTTTATATTTGAGATATAATTTGGTTGCAATATTTTCCAAAGTTAATGTTACTACTTATATTTGTTTTTGCTCCATATCTAAGATTCTACTTTTTAGAAAATCTTAAAAAATACAACAATATATGCTTTCATTTATTCTGCAGTGTAGTGCTTGCAAGTGGATTTTTAAAAGATGATACAAGTTGGCATTGGATAATACAATATGTGGCTAAGAATGAAATTTTAAGTTCAATGATGTTATTATTCTTATGAATCTGTTTTAGAATATCTTCAAATATTAAAAAATAATAATAGAATGTACATTATTATTGCTATGAAATATTCTTTTATATTTTTATGTTTTTTATTAATACATGTAGATGTATTGAATTGCATTCATCATTATTTTTTCATTAACAAAGTATCATTAGATATTTAATTAAATTTTTATTCATTAGCAATATTTTAATGATTTTTCAAATTTACTTTAATCAAATAAAAAGTTTTCCAATCATATGATACGTGTGCATAGAAGCTTATTATTTGTAATCTATATGTTACATGTTTCACTACAAATGATACATGGTTTTATTAGTATTTATTTATGTAATGAAAAAATGAATATATTTGATATAATTATTATTGTCAAAAAAAATGATAAAAATAATAATTCTTCATTGATTAATTTAGAGGTATAAAAATAATATGCTTCTACAAGCTTTTGTTAGTATATTTTAGAGGGAAGGCACAAATGTCTATGTTAATTTCTTCTTTTTACATTGCAACTTGATTACTTTTTAGTAGAAAACAATTGTTTTTTTCATACATTTCTTTTAATTTGAGTGATAAAGAAAATTGTTGTATTACCAAAGAATTTGGACTTTAAAGTATGCTTAAAGCTATTAATAAGGTATTTACTTAAGATGAAGCACCAATGACGAATATGACAAATTTTAAGGCCATAAATAGGTTGCTATAAGATACCATAAATATTAATTAGATTATTAACAGATTTTTTGTATTAAAAAATATTTGTTCCAAACTTTGTAGGTTCTTTGTCATAGAATAAGAACTCAAATAGTCAATGTAGATTTGGAATTGGTTGATTTATGTCTGTTTGTAAAAAATGCATATCTTATTATCAACATAAGACTAGGCTTAGTTGATAATGCTGAAGGAGATAAAAATATAAGCTTTGTACAATATTCTCTTTGTGTTGGTAAAAGCATAGATGTTATTTGTGCTAATAAAGATAAAAATAAAATTTACATTCTTAATATAATTAATTTGCATATGTTAATTAATTGAATATACATATGGCAATATTAAAAATTGAGCAAATATTAAACAATACATCATAAATTCTGTGATAGTATTTACTGTTGTAAATGATTATTACCTATTGTGGAAAAAAGTATCATTTTCAACGATGATGTATTTTTTTCGAAATATTAAAGCATGAAATATGTAAAATCAGTTTTTTTTCAACAAAAATAAATAAATAAATAACTCAACACTGTATTTACTATGTGTATTAGAGTTTCTAACACATCTAAAAGTTGTTATACTATGCTTCAACAATCAATCCTTCCTATTAAAAGGTTGAAATAGTAGTTGTTCTTTTCTTGCAAGA